ACATTTTAAAAAACCGCAAGTGTTTCGAATAAGTTTACATGCAAGATGCAGACCAAACCCGTGTGAATTTCAAAATTCAAATGTTATATTCTAAACGACCCAACCGATGCGTTGGGAACGCTTGTTATTTTGAAGTCAAACGGAATCCGCTGTATCTGCAATCATAGCTAAATAAACCGCAATCATAGCTAACCAACATCATGGGGCACTGTTAACGGCAGCCGAAAGAGCTGTTGAGACCTACTTATTGAATTGTCAATTGTGTTTTTTGGGGGGCACCCTGTATATATTTGGTAATGTATCAGTTACAGCCAACATTGTCACTGAAACCGATATTCCATTCAAACAAGAATATCTAAAGAAAAGTATAGCGTGATTTGCATGTAGCTAGATACTTGTAGACAGACAAGAAAACTTGAAACAAAAATCAAACATGGCATCAAAAAGTGAACTGAAAGTCGTCTAAATAAATGAACTAGCTGGAAAGGCTTATATAATTTAGGAAAGCCCACCAACTCTCGATGTCAGTAAGGAATAGTAAAAATAGACTTAAATAGTCATATTTTAAATTCAAATAGAGTATTTCGTTAAGAATACAGCGATAAAACTATGTTTCCCGTGCTAGGCAGATGTAAATAACGATAAACTTGAATGCAGAGTTCTTGAAACACTCTAAAATACCAGTAATCTGTCTGTACCGAAATACAACAGAGCGGTTTGACCGTTTTTACCGAATAAAGGAAAGCGCCCTTAGTTAGACAAGAAGCTGACCTTTTAACAAACAGGTTCAACATTAGGTATTGAGTATCATCTCTCTTGAATGAGTCAACTTGAATATTATGCACTGAATATGTAGTTGTAAACAGTATCTTTGTATTAAGGTTAAAAACATTTAGTTTGCTTGTTGAATAAAACGATAGACTTGCTTTCTATTTTGAACTTATCCACCGTTTAAGCTAAACGGGCTTGATACAACCGGCCCCTGACCTAAATCATATTTCTATCTTATATAATTCACAATGTGTAAATAATGACGTAATTTGCACACTGAAAATAGCTTACATATGCTTGCAATAAAAAATCTTGTCCTGATTAATTAGCAAAAAGCAAAAAACTTATGAGTTATGTAGTTAATAGTCACGTCAGTTATATATGAGATACAATTCATACAAAGATAATACAAAACAGTACTGAAAATCAAAGCTTTCAGTCCGACATCAACGTAAAAATGGTCAGTTATATTGATCGGGTACATAGCCTCTGATAAAGATGTACAGTACATTATTTTCCTCCAATTAATGCGTGCTTTTTATAAGCAACACCATTTGCAACCACATTGTTTAGTGTATTGAAAAAGTAATCAAGGCATTTATCGTTATCGATGCACGCTTTATCTGAACTCATTTCAAAACTGCCACCTTTATATTTAACCGTCTCTGAGCGAAATTCCTGTTTATTACTTGAATAGGTTAACCCAACAACACTGCCGTTCAATGTTACTCCAAAATTCTTCGAAGAGGTCTTGTGATGGGATCGCTCCACTGTCAGATCACCTTCAGTGAATTTTACCTTGATAGGACCGTTGGATATTTCAATAATCTGTTTTGATTCCGTGTTCATTTCAGCAGGTTGAGTTTCACCATGACAGCAGACAGTGAATATCGCAATTAATGCGTATTTTAACACGTACATTTTGTAAACAAGGCCAGCTATGCCTAGGAATCGGTGTTGAAGTTCAACTTTAGTGTTCGCTGTTGTCGCACAGCCTACCTGCCGAACTTCTGATGTATATCTAAATGCGAATACTGGTTTCCGCTGTTCTATTATATGTCTAAGAATGCAAAATATGCATGTTAAGGTTGGCACTCTAGCCGAAAAGGAAATGCAAAATCATTTAGCAAACTACATGTTATTCGAAAGATATACGTGAAATATATATAATAATCCGAAAACATACATGATGTCGATAAATTGAAACGATCTCTTCACATTTTACAAACACTGTGAATTCGTACTTATCAATTCGTAATGATATATGTTGCTAATCTAACAGTTGATCATTTCACATGCTGTGTTTCCATTAGTAGAGAATGCTCCAATGATTTATAACATTGATAAAGAATATTGTTTCGCGCTTTGTTGATAAACGTTTTGCAATCGCGAATTTAATTTCAAAATATTTGCCGCATAGCACTTAGGAAAACAACTATATTTAACATTTCTTTAAGGTATAGACTATAAAAGAAATATGATCATATTTCATGTTAGTTGATCCATTATACAAAATTACCTAAGAAAGTAGGTGATTACATATTCCCCAAAAACCGACAGAAAAAACCCACAAAACAAAAACATACCTGCGATTGAAAATGCAACACAATAGCCAATAGGGGGTTAATATAACAACACCCATGCACTAAATATATTCAAAGCTGAAAATATGATCAAAATATGGTCAGGTTCGATGTCATAAGGCGATTATTAACAACATTATATTAATCGGACGATTTTAAACCTATACGCTTTTATTTATGGATTTCTAGTTTCAACCTATAGTTTTAACGTGGAGATTAATTTTTATATTACATATTCTTTTTATAACACTACACAGATACTTCAATAAAACTACAGGTTGCCACATGCAGACATATGGACATAAAATGACGAAAAAAAGTTATAGTTTTTAATGTTTTAACACTGATAAAATCTTGTGGAAATAAATATTATATTGGTAGGCTGGTATATAGCTACATTCTCAAGAGCTTGCCGAAGTGTTAAATACAATTTAAACATAAGAAATTGGTATTTCAATTATTCTTTTAGCGCTAGCATTGTATGCGGAAACTGTCGATTGCAATCTTCATTATTAAAATTGCTGTGTATAGCTGATAATACCGACAAAAAAACCAGCTGTGATATTGTTTAAGATATGCATGGTCACGGTGAAACAAAGTATTGATTGCTGCTAAATAGATCGCTATGGGGTGTACATAAATTACATGCAAATATATGACTAAGAGCTTCTTTCAAGGCCCCGTGACGCAGAGCTGATAAGATCGACGTATATTCGAGAATATACCATAAGCATTTCTTAAAGTTGAACGCGCATTAAAACATGGCTGTGTCTAGACGTGAGCATTGCTTGAAATTACTTATTTTACTATCACTTCTTCAGACAACAATTGCATCAGCAGAAGACTTGCAACTTATCGACGACACTGAAACAGAAAAACATCACGAAATGGAAGCTTCTTCAACTTGCGATGAATTCCCGATTGACTATGACCCCGTCACAAATACGTTCTCGAAAAATCGAAAGTATACCGGAGGTTGCAAGAATTTCGTAGCGACATACACGGAAGACTATGAGAAGTCGAGACAGGAGATTCATAAAAAATCCACGACGATTACAATTGGGATCTAACAATGCATGAAGATACAAAAAAGTCATTGCAGGAACGGAGTTCAAGTCAAATAGAGCATGACGTGTACAAGTTATACAGGACTTCAAAACATCAACTAATTCAGAATGGAGATCTTACGTTGTAAAGAAATATTTTTTGAAATCATAAGTGACAATGGGAGGCTATGAACACATTAGCTACATACAGAAATTCTGAACGAAATATATAAATATAGATCAATTAAGGTGACAACAATCATTGTGGTTATACGGAAGCAAGTTGATTGATAAGTTGCTTGACGTTAAATTCTCGTGGTTTTTCCACAGACAATAAAATAGTGAAGGTCTCGAATATACCAGATACTTAGTTTTCTTATTTTCGACGACCATCGGAGAAGTTATGATGAGTATATACCTCATTTAAATATCAAAATAAACGATTTTTTAAAACCGCACAATATATAAGTTATCAGTATATATACTGATAACAGTCCTTATAATCATATAAGAGAAAGTGATTTATAGATCTCTTTATAATAAACGACTTTCCATTTCTGGTAGTTGTTATTTCAATTACTCTTCACTGAACAGTGCGTTAGAACAGCAACGCAAGTTTTCTTCCTGAGTCAATCATTTGGGTTATTCTTCGACTGTCTGATTCAAGGACAAGGTGATTCCTGCGTCCCAACAGGTAAAACACGGAGGTTTCCACGGTACGATATATGTACTTCGTCCCATCTTCGCATTCGTGTCAAATATTGGCCAACGTATCTCAGAAAGAGATGAATTTTCCGTAGATCCTATTTCGCCACTCGAAAAACGGTAAAACCACAAATAAAAGCAGACACCGAAGGTCAAAATGGCAACCTTCATCACCACCGACATCTTGACAACAATTTAAAAAAAATATTTCGAGCAAGGAAGTTATAGAGTCTGAAAATGCGCAAATGTAGCACATTCCTATAAGTTTTAGCGTATTCTGGTTTTTTCCAGATTATTCGACATGACATTGAGAAGAAAGAAACTGACGTATATTTCAATAACTTTCTTGTTTTGAAGGCGCGGGAAAATTTCCTGTTTACGTTTTTGCATACAGTGGTAAAAACTCGTTATTTTCTGAAGGAAATATTTTGAATAGCATGAGATTACAATGACGACTGTCTAACTGAAAGATATGATATATATATATATAGATGCTAAATTTAATAAACTTTTTTAAGATTTTCATATAGCCTGCCATGAAATATTTCATATTTCATCAGCATTTGTGATTATAGTAAATATTTAGTGGTCCCACATTACGTCAAATTCAATGCATAAACGATGTCTCCTGTCTAAAGATGAAATATTTCTACGTCTATTTATAAATCTTTCAAAATAAGCAGGTGTCGTAATGTGGTGAAATAGAGCACAAATTATTTCATGTAATTGATTTTATTTCGTTAAATATATTAAGCAAAACACCGCAGAAATTGGTATTTATGAAGTTTCAAGCCGAAAATCTAATCGCTGGTTCACAATTGTGCATTTCTGTATCGCTATCAAAGAGAAAACTATTGAATAACTTTAAAAAGTTCAATTTTTCTTCTGAATACGCATTCTGCAATCTTTTGACAGCTCATCAAACACATCTAACAGCTGTGAAATGGACATTTTGAGGCTTAAAGTATATAAACAAGGTTATTAATTCAGACGATTCGTTTTGCCGTGTGCAAGCTTCAAATCTTTTGTGAAAGAAATATTTTGTTCAGTATTTATAAGTCTTCTTTCTCATCAAGTTTGAAGTCTAAGTATTGAGAATTGCGGCCAATTTCCGGTCTTGGTTTTTGAAACTTCGTTTCGCTTGAGGACTAGGATTGGAAACGTGAAAATTCATTTGTTTGTTTCTATGAATGTTCTCAACTGCTTTTCAAAATACAGCGCTCGGTCCAAAGGCGGGAAAAGTCTACATAATATACTTTACTGCTTTGCGATTGATTCATAAACAAATGTCAAAATTCTCTTTACTAAAGGTGTAAAAAGCTGACATTTGAATTAAGTTGTACAAAACTATTTCATTTTAATTCGATTATAAACAAAATATACGCGTCAGAAATATTTCAAAAGATTACATAGAAAACTATTCTTGTAAATGTTATCTTTACTGCTTCTATATGTAAAACTGGCCACTAAACTCACTAAAAGTTTCACTTAAGTAACTCATATTGCATTAAGTCGACTTTTAAAGTCGAAAAGAACACAAAACCTAACTAAATTATACGAACAAACTTATACTAAAACTCGCAGGTCACTTTTATCCAGGTTTTCGTTTGGTCCTAAACGTCCCATACACGCATTTAGTCTTTCCTAAGACCTTATACCTTAGTTTCACGTTCAAAACGGTCAAATGTCGTCAAAAGCCTTGGGATCACCTCTTCCCAATTGTTGCCCAACTGTAGTCGGGTGCACAGGCACGGTACCGAGCGGTCAGCGGTCTTTAGCCACGTCATCGCCTTGGTAACCTTCGCGTGCAACTCGGTATCAGACCCCACGGGGCACTCCGGCATTTTGAACGGCGGGATAAGTTGAATTTGAAAAGCAAAGCATTTCTTTTGACGTAAATATGCCAAAACCAAAAGGGTCGCTACCATTTTGCAAAGGGTTTTGAACGTTCGAACACCTTATCAGACAATAAAATACAAAGCTTTTAATGGATATTAATGGAAATGGAGCATTTTAATTGGTTCTTTAGCGGTCGGTAACCCCCAATATTGACCGCTAAGTTTTGGCGGGAAAAAAATGAAATTTAGTGTTTTGAGTGATTTTCTTCAAAAACTCTGTTTGGGAGAACGGTTTAGAAAGTTTAAAATGTCTTAAAGGGAAGAGGAATTAATTGGTTTTTATTATCCGGAAAAAGATGATGTTTTGGGCAACGTAAGGACTTGAATAGCTAAAGAAATTAACGAGATTGGGCTGCTTCTAGGCAACTAGCTAGCGACCCGGAACTTGCAAACAGAAGGATTATTTGGGTTGCATCAAGGCGAAGATATGCACTTTACTTATTAGGAAACTTACCAAGCGATTTCGAACCACAATCAACCAGCATTTTCTCAATTTCCGAAGCATTTACCGGAAGGTAATTATCTAGACGAGAATCTGTTAAATTCCAAGAACCATCCTAGAAGAAGTTCCGGAAAGATGTAAGTACACATCCACTATGTATATCAGTCTAGAGTTAGTTTAGTTTAGGTTTCCTCCTGTAGTAACACTGGACCAATAAGAGATGATCCTTACTGGACCTCTAGGAAGAACAGTTTAGAACTGATAGAGCTATCCAGTATAAATAAAGTTAGTTTAGTTTAGGTTTCCTTCTGTAGTAACACTGGATCAATAAGAGATGATCCTTACTGGACTTCTAGGAAGAACAGTTTAGAACTGATAGAGCTATCCAGTATAAATAAAGTTAGTTTAGTTTAGGTTTCCTCCTGTAGTAATACTGCATCAAATAAGAGATGATCCTTACTGGACCTCTAGGAAGAACAGTTTAGAACTGATAGAGCTATCCAGTATAAATAAAGTTAGTTTAGTTTAGGTTTCCTCCTGTAGTAACACTGAATCAATAAGAGATGATTCTTACTGGACCTCTAGGAAGAACAGTTTAGAACTGATAGAGCAATCCATTATAAATAAAGTTAGTTTAGTTTAGGTTTCCTCCTGTAGTAACACTGGATCAATAAGAGATGATCCTTACTGGACCTCTAGGAAGAACAATTTAGTCTTATATTACCTCATCTTGTAACAGAAATACCCCGATTGGTGGTCCCATCTTTTGTGGTGTCGACTGCATTTCTGGAAGGTTGATCGAACATCTCATCATCCGGCCTGCCCTTCTTCTGTGTAATCTCTCCTCTATTTGCAAAAGTAATAGTCATTTCAACTTATATTTCGCTAAACAAGAACAGAAGTTAAACGCTAGCCTTCTAAATAGCTTACTTTTGGGCAATTTTACATCAGGGGCAGTTGTTCAAAGCTAGGTGGGCGCTAACCCTGGGTTAAATCTTAATCCAGTGTTTTATATAGTTGACGTGCTTCTGAGCCGCTGTTCGTTACAAAATATGACTTCTATCCGTCAAGAAAATATTTATAAAAAAAGGTATTCAACTTTGTAAGCAGGCAATAAAAAATTTAATGTAAAGATTTGCTTTAACCCAGGGTCAGAGCAGTTTCGAATATTTTTGGGGTTTCGCAGAATTGTAAAAACAGCTTTGGAAACGAACTTTTAATCGGCTGTTGGTTGTAGCAATTTAGAATAGAATGGCATTACGATGTTGACAGGCTTAATAAAGAGGATATTTTCTATGCCACGTATAATATTTGTTTAATTTCTTTTAAAATTGAGAACGTTTTGCAACCCTCAAAAACATCGAAAAACAATGTTTACTATTTCATCTAAAAACAACATTAAAATGAAGAGATTTCTCGGGATACGACGAGAATTAAATGACACTTAAATCGAAGCTTCTTTTGCATTCATTTCAGTTATAATGGCGTTGACATTATAACATTGTTGATAGCCGCATTATATTTTGAAAAACCTCTCGTCGTTTAGTGTTTTGCAATCACCAAATATCGAGCGATAGAAAGGTTTGACCAAGGTTAACCGCGCTTTTTGTTAGATTATTTCTGGACAGTACTATAATTATAGCAACTTGAGAATACTGATGAGTGACTGTTACATGAAGTTTACATCAGTGACTAGCGCTAAATAACGCAGGCATAGGTCTGGACAGTGCTATAATTATAGCAACTTGAGAATACTGATGAGTGACTGTTACATGAAGTCTACATGAGTGACTGGCGCTAAATAACGCAGGCATAGGTCAGCGGGCTCGGCGGAGCACATGGAAACTCGAGCGAGATAACTTGCAATCAGTTGGCATTATTTTTTGTGTTCATATTTTTGTACAAGAGTTTTTCTCTAGAAATAAAAAGAGTTCTTCGTACACAACAATGAGAATATTCATTGTGACGATTAGTACATGAGTTTCGAATAATATTTTTTTCTAACAAGTGAAGAGGTATATACCTTTTGGTTTTGAAGTGCTATACCATCGCCTAGAGGAACCGCTTGCCACAGGCGGTGGAGGGGGTTCCCGTGACTCGATGGATCTGCGGAGCAAGGGTGAAGCGGCGGGGGATGGCGTTTCTTGTTCTTCTTGTGTTTGTTCTTTATCCGTCTGAACTTGCTGACTGCCAAGAGACAACGCTACAACGTTCTCCGAAACCCCATCTTCTTTTTTCCTCCGTTTAGGAGAATCTGCTGATTTCAATGATAAAATACAACTAAAGCGCCTCACACGAGAGCTGGTAGCTGAGGTAAAGACCTCGCAAGGCTGGTAATTTGCTCAGCAAGTTAGAGGCTGTTTGCATGAGCCCGGTTACCCGAGATTCAACGAAGCGTGAGATGATTTTGAGGTATTGTAACAAGTCTTTATGACACGAAACAAGCACATGCAATTGTTCTGGTGAGTATTCGACTGCCAGGATCATGTTATCTGCTCATTTCAATACCTCAAAATCATCTCACGCTTCGTCGAACTCGGGTAACCGGGCTCATGAAAACAGCCCCTTACTCTCGTATGGGGATAGTTTTGGTGAGGAATTCGCCTCGAGAGGCAAGTTTCAAGAGTTTTTCCCTAGAAATAAAAAGCGTTCTTCGTATGCAGCGAAGAGAACATTCATTGAGACGATTAGTAGATGAGTTTTGAATAAGAATTTCTTTTAACAAGCGGAGAAGTATATACCTTTTGTTTTCACAGCCCCGAGGCTGACGCTAAACGGTGACTTGGAGAGCAAGGGTGGAGCAGCCCGGGCAGGCATTTCTTGTTCTTTTTGTGGTTGTTGTTTATGAGTTTGAACTTGCTGAATACCAAACGAAAATCCTCCAAAGGTATCCTTCACCGAGACCTCATCTTCTTTTTTCTTCTGTTCAGGAGAATCTGTTAATATCAATGATAAAATAGAACTAAAGCGCGCCTCACACGAGAGCTGGTAGCTGAGGTAAAGACCTCGCGAGGCTGTTAGCTCAGCAAGTTACTCTCGTGTGCGGATAGTTTTTCGTCAGGAATTCGTCTACATAGTTCGTCTACATAGTTTGTCGTGTGTTTTTACTCAGACGAATGATCTGTCAGATGGATCATTTGTCCAGACGGATAATCCGTCTCTAGTATCATTTGGGCCAACATTTAATCGACTGTTACAGCACTGTCCAGTTGCGGTTCGGTTGCGGGCGACCGATAAAAACCGCAGACGACCGCGAAGGAAAAAACACGACCGCGGTTGCCGTTCGCTTCTGAACGGAATGCTATGAACTGCTGAGAACAACAACACAATAATCATATCAAAAACATCCTAAGAAATATCAGTCAGACCGAGTTAGGCTGAGGTTTAACGTCCGTCTCACGGCGGTTCGTCCTCGGTCTGACCACGGTTCAACGGCGATCAGACCGAGGTTTCACCAAGGTTCTGGACAGTACTATAATTATAGCAACTCGAGAATACTGATGAGTGACTATTATATGAAGTTTACATAAGTGACTAACAATAACGCAGGCACAGGTCAGCGGGCTCGACGGAGCACATGGAAACTCGAGCGAGATAACTTCGGATCAGTTGTCAAATAATTTTTTGTGTTCATATTTTTGTACAAGAGTTTTTCTCTAGAAATAAAAAGAGTTCTTCGTACACAACAATGAGAATATTCATTGTGACGATTAGTAGATGAGTTTCGAATAATCTTTTTTTCTAACAAGTGAAGAGGTATATACCTTTTGGTTCTGAAGCGTCATAGCATCGCGTAAAGGAACTGCTTGGCATAGGAGGTAGAGGGGGATTCCGTGATCTGGTGGATCTGCGGAGCAAGGGTGAAGCGGCGGGGGGTGGCGTTTCTTGTTCTTCTTGTGGTTGTTCTTTATCCGTCTGAACTTGCTGACTACCAAGAGACAACGCTACAACGTTCTCCGAAAGCCCATCTTCTTCTTTCTTCTCTTCAGGAGAATCTGTTGATTTCAATGATAAAATAGAACTAAAGCGCGTCGCACACGAGAGCTGGTAGCTGAGGTAAAGACCTCGCGAGGCTGTTAGCTCAGCAAGTTACTCTCGTGTGCGGATAGTTTTCAGGCTGAGTTAACTGCCTCGCGAGGTCGTTAGTTCAGCTGATAGCTCTCTTGTGCGGCTTGCTTAAGGCTATGTGGTGCATGCGAGCGTCATTTTCGAGTGTTTTCAGTATTCTTACCAGGTAAGGAAGGCTTGAAGTAGCTAGGTCTTCGTAGATTCTTTGGAACCTCATCTCGTATTAAGTGAGGTTTTGCTTCTCCATCAAAACCCCCACTGGAATCAGATTCGATTTCTATAAAATACAACAAAACGATGATGTGCATTGAATGCCCTAAATTCATAACTGCATATTTCAGATTTCCATGCACGTCTTTCCATGAACATTGACGCTACATTAAGAAGCAGAATAGGCTACTTTGAGAATATCACTATCATAAGACCGAACAACTTGTATACATTAAATTGATACGATGTATAATATAGGAACAGATTTTTCACCTGAATTTATATTTAGCCATTTGGGACAAAAGGCTACCATTGTTAGGAGCTGTTTATATTGGAGCCAGGCTGGCTCGGCCGTGAAAACTATTCAAGTCTCTTAAAAGTTTAGAAAAACATCGGAAAGGGCGGTCGTGTGTTTCTCGAAAGATCTGTCATTATCTGCGGTTTCTTGTTGTTGGGGTTGTTTTAGTTTATGTGCTTTTGAACCACTGTTCGTTTCAACACTTTACAAAATAAGACTTCTTTCGGTCCACAAAATATTTATAATAAAGATATTCAACTTTGTAAACAGGCAATAAAAAAATTTAGTGCAAAGATTTGCTTTAACCCCGCCAGGGTTGGCTAAGCCAGGTTTTGAACGACGTGGCTCAGAGGATCGAACGTTGTAATAAGCAAGAGTTTTTCTCTAGAAATAACAAGTACGATCAAACTACAGGGTGTCCCAAAAAAAACGAAAACTATTGAAATCACCCATAACAATGTAATTGTTAGAGTTTGAATGCCTAAGCACTCTGTTGGGCCCACAAGTGTATAAATCGGGGTTGCCATAAGCATTTTTATGCATGCATATGATGCAGTCAAATTTGCTTGTTCGCAAAAATGATATTTATTAACAATATTTACAATTTACAAATATGGATAACATTATTTAAAATTTAAATGTATGTGCATCTCAAGGACCATGACCTTCGACATGTCCCCTTTCTCTAGCAACACAAAGCATTTAGCATTTTATAAGCTGCATTAAATCCCCACGGGCTGAAATTCGTGAACACGGCATTCAATTTTTAACAATGAGTGATTTCAATACTTTTCGGGTTTTTTGGGACACCCTGTATAGGCTGAATATTAATGATATGTATATATCATTTGCTGCAAATATATCAAGAATTGCTTGTAACTTGCTTCAAAGGTCAAAAGTAAAAATTCGAACTCCGTCAATCGATGCGGAATATTGCTTATAGAATAATTGTGCCAAGTTTCATTCCGATCAAACAAGTAATGATAGAGCCTTAGGGTTTTTTTAAAGAGCGTAGCCCCCTAACAACAACAACAACAGAAGATTAGCAGCGGTTACGGACCAGTTCCTGGTCCAAAAAGCGTTCCTCGTACACAGCGAAGAGAACATTCATTGTGACGATTAGTAAACGAATTTCGAATAAGAATTTTTTTATCAAGTGGAGAGGTACATACCTTCTCTATTCAAAATCCCAAAGCTTCGCCTACGGTAGGCGATGCTAAACGGTGACTTGGAGAACAGGCGTGGAGCGGCGGGGGGTGGTGTTTCTTGTTCTTCTTGTGGCTGTTTTTTATCTGTCTGAACTTGCTGAATACCAAACGAAAATCCTCCAAAGGTATCGTTCTTGGACACCCCATCTTCTTCTTTCTTCTCTTCAGTAGAATCTGTTTATTTCAATGATAAAATAGAACTAAAGCCCTAAAGAATTCATATTAGGCACAGGAAATTCATCTTAGACAGGAAAGTTGATTGTAAAAACCCGTCTTAATATGACTTGGAATGGATATAAAATTTACACGTGTGATGGGTCGGGTAATGCTAAAAAGGGTATCGTGATTATTACGATAATAATTTTGTTTATTTTCTCAGTTAAGCGCGCCTCACACGAGAGCTGGTAGCTGAGGTAAAGACCTCGCGAGGCTGTTAGCTCAGCAAGTTACTTTCGTGTGCGGATAGTTTTTCGTGAGGAATTCGTCTACATAGTTCGTCTAGATAGTTTGTCGTGTGTTTTTACTCAGACGAATGATCTGTCAGATGGATCATTTGTCCAGACGGATAATCCGTCTCTAGTGTCATTTGGGCCAATATTTAATCGACTGTTACAGCACTGTCCAGTTGCGGTTCGGTTGTGGTCGACCGACAGAAACCGCAGACGACCGCAAGGGAAAAAATACGACCGCGGTTGCCGTTCGCTTCTGAACGGAATGCTATGAACAGCTGAGAACAACAACACAATAATCATATCAAAAACATCCTAAGAAATATCAGTCAGACCGAGCTAGGCCGAGGTTTAACGTCCGTCTCACCGCGGTTCGACCTCGGTTCAACTGCGATCAGACCGAGGTTTCACCAAGGTTCTGGACAGTACTATAATTATAGCAACTCGAGAATACTGATGAGTGACTGTTACATGAAGTTTACATAAGTGACAAACAATAACGCAGGCACAGGTCAGCGTGCTCGACGGAGCACATGGAAACTCAAGCGAGATAACTTTGGATCAGTTGACATTATTTTACGTGTTCATATTTTTGTACAACAGTTTTTCTCTTTAAATAAAAATCGTTCGTCGTACACAACAATGAGAATATTCTTTGTGACGATTAGTACATGAGTTTCAAATATGAATTTTTTTGACAAGCGGAGGGGTACATACCTTTCGGTTTTGAAGCGTCATAGCATGAAATAATAGAGGAACTGGCGCTAAGAGGTGTAGATATAGAGGGTGGAGAGGGTGGAGGCGAATGCCGTGACTCAACGTGCAGTGGTGAAGCGGTGGGGGATGCCATCTTGACACTTCTCTTCGACTTAAGAGAATGAAACGATTCCAATGCTACAAATGCAAACAAAAGATGCTGTAGAAATTGCTGATGCAAGTCGCGCTTGTGGACGCCCCCTGCACTTCTCGTTTCTACAAAATTGTTTCAGTAGATGAGTTTTTTCAATCGATTTGTAGATGAGTTTCGAATAATATTCTTTTCTAACAAGTGAAGAGGTATATACCTTTTGGTTTTGAAGCGCTATAGCATCGCAGAAAGGAACTGCTTGCCATAGGCGGTGGAGGGGGATCCCGTGACCTGATGCCGGACTTGGGCGGCAAGGGTGGAGCAGCCGGGGATGGTGTTTCTTGTTCTTCTTGTGGTTTTTGTTTAGCCGTCTGAGCTTGCTCAATACCAAACAAAAATCCTCCAAAGGTATCGTTGTTGGACACCCCATCTTCTTCTTTCTTCTCTTCAGAAGAATCAGTTCATTTCAATGATAAAATAGAACTAAAGCGCGCCTCACAGGAGAGCTGGTAGCTGAGGTAAAGACCTCGCGAGGCTGTTAGCTCAGCAAGTTACTCTCGTGTGCGGATAGTTTTTCGTGAGGAATTCGCCTCGAGAGGCAAGTTTCTATCGTGTGCGGATAGTTTTCAGGCTGAGTTAACTGCCTCGCGAGGTCGTTAGCTCAGCTGATAGCTCTCTTGTGCGGCGGGCTTAAGGTTATATGCGGTGCACGCTAGCTATAGCGTCATTTTCGAGCGATTTCAATATTCTTACCAGGTAAGGCAGACCTGCGGTAGGCAGAACTTCGCGAACGCGGTATTAGAGCCTCATCTCTTATTGAGTGAGATATTTCTCCACCACCAAAAGTCTGTCTCAAATCAGGTACGATTTCTATAAAATACAACAAAACGATGATGTGTATTAATAATGCTCTAAATTCAAAACTGAATATTTCAGGGGCCGGTTGTATCAAGCCCGTTTAGCTTAAACGGCGGATAAGTTTAAAATAGAAAGCAAGTCTATCGTTTTATTCAACAAGCAAACAAAATGTTTCTAACCTTAATACAAAGATACTGCTCACAACTACATATTCAGTGCATAATATTCAAGTTGACTCATTCAAGAGAGATGTAAGAGTGTTATTTAATTTTGACTTATCCACCGCTCAAACTCGTTTCGAACATGCACAACCGGACCTTGGTATATTTGATGGCCCCTTCACACATATTTTAGGGCTACACCCCTCCCCCCCCCGGTTTAAGTCAAACTTTTCAAGCTTCTTACCAAATGTCGGAGCGATCCTAGAGCTCGGAACAGGGGGAGGAGGGGGTGGTGGTGACGCTACACCTTCTTCTTTCGCACCACGAGATGGAACACCTCGTCTCAAAGATTTTTTGGACTTTATCTTTCCGAGGAGGGCATCAAGTTCTAATTTTGCTTGTGGATCCTCTACCAGTGAAAAGAAAGATGGTGTAGAAATTCTTTGACAACAAAGCAAAAGTAGTTCATGGTTGACATGTACTGTATTTAGACCATACAGTTCCAGAATAACATCGGTGGTAAACCGCATAATATGGTAAACATACCATCATCAAAGCACATATCATCGCCTTCACTTTCATCATCATCATCATGTAAATCTGGGAAGAACAATTTGGAACTTCGAGAATCCACCTGACCTTATTTATGCCTCACTATATCACCTGAGTCACTATTGATAGTTTCCGAGAACTTTCTTGCAAGTCCTGGGGCCGGTTGTATCAAGCCCGTTTAGCTTAAACGGTGGATAAGTTCAAAATAGAAAGCAAGTCTATCGTTTTACTCAACAAGCAAACTAAATGTTTTTAACCTTAATACAAAGATACTGTTTACAACTACATATTCAGTGCATAATATTCAAGTTGACTCATTCAAGAGAGATGTAAGAGTGTTATTTAATTTTGACTTATCCGCCGTTTAAGCTAAACGGGCTTGATACAACTGGCCCCAGATTTCCATGTCCTGTTTTCCACCAGGCGAATTTATTCGCGTGACGCGAAGCGATATCTGAAATCGGGTTATTGGATTGCTTTGCGAAAAAAATCGCCGCGAAAAAGTAGAAACGCTTCTTAAGGCGGATTTCCACTTACAGCGAAATCGTTCGCTAGCGAAATATTTGCATATTTCCTTTTGAATTGAGAACAGTCAAGTCGAACTAATTTATTTATGCTGTTAAAATTCAAAAGAAAACATGCAAATATTTCGCTGGCGAACGATTTCGCTGTAAGTGGAAATCGGCCTTTACTTTTTATATGTTCGCGCGAAAGGGCTAACACCCCCCCGGTTTAAGTCAAACTTTTCAAGCTTCTTACCTAATGTCTGTGCGTTCGTAGAGCTCGGAACAGGGGGAGGAGGGGGTGGTGGCGATGCTACATCTTCTTCTTTTGCACCACGAGATGGAACACCTCGTCTCAAAGATTTTTTGGACCTTAATTTTGCTTGTGGATCATCTACCAGTGAAAAGAAAGATGGTGAAGAAATTCTTTGATAACAAAGCAAAAGTAGTTTATGGTTGACATGTATCGTATTTAGACCATACAGTTCCAGAATAACACGGGGTAAACTGCATAATATGGTTAACATACCATCATCACTGAATAATCCAAAGCCATATCATGGCTTTACTTCATTCATTATCATCATGTAAATCTGAGAAGAACAATTTGGAATTTTGAGAATCCACCTGACCTTACTTATGCATCACTATATCACAGAGTTGCAAAAAGAGTTCAACCTTCCTCCGGTAGGATTTCAAGTTTTGAAAACCTTCCTCAAAACGACGTTACGTCAGTGAGTCAAGTGGCAACCAGCATAAACAAATATTTGTTTTTTTAATACATGCATGTGATCAATTAGAGTGCTCAACTTTGAACCTTCCTCACAAACCTCATTCAAAGCAAACCTTCCTCCGGGTGGTACCCGCGTACCCGCTGCTTTTTTGCAACTCTGCTATATCACCTGAGTCACTATTGATAGTCTCCGAGAATTTTCTTGCAAGTCCAGGGGCGTAGCCAAACGGGGAATGGGGTGTTCGGACTTTCTCCCCCCTGTTGTAATTTTCGTCTAGTAACATGTAGAGCTTAGTATACTTAATGGTTGCCCCCTGTTAATCTTAGGCTGCTCCGCCTCTGTTTAAGTGAAACTTTTCAAGCTTCGTACCTGGTGAGAATGTGTTCATAACTGGAAATTCAGTACTCAAATATCGTCCGCTTGGTGCCCCTAAAAAGAAAAATGATGTGGAAATACAATAATCAAGAGTGAATATGGAGACAGAAACACAATAATTAAGAGTGGATATGGAGAGTTAAATTTTTCAGTTTCATTGCAAGCCTCACCTAGATCTGGAGGCAAATCATCAAGTTCTTCAACATCATGTCCTGTGCATAACAAAATGAAAATAACAAATGAATAAACCGAAAGCAGATAATAATTTAGATATACTCATAAACTAGACACCGTGGCAATTGGTAAGAGTTGATTTCATAAGTATCATTTAAATGATTTTAAACTTTTACGTGCGTTTAGGTACGTATAAAAAAAAACGAAAGTGGAAAACAGCCCTTAACCTACAAGCTAATTTACAAAGATTTCGTACTGTCTTGCTTCAAAGCATGAAATTTAAATTCTTGCAAGTTCAGGGGCGTAGCCAAACGGGAAATGGGGTGTTCTTAAGTGAAACTTTTCAAGCTTCTTACCTGTTGAGAATGTGTTTATAATTGGAAATCTAGGACTTAAAGAACTTTCCCTTGGTGGCACTAAAAAGAAAAATGATGTGGAAATACAATAATCAAGAGTGAATATGGAGACTGAAATTCTTTAGTTTCATTGCAGCCTCACCTATTACATAAATATCTTCAAAATCAGTCCTGGTATAACGAAGTGAAAATAACAAATAAATAAACCGAAAGCAGATAATAGTTTAGATATACTCATATACTGCATAGGACACCGTGGAAATTGGTAAGAGTTGATTTCATAAGTATCATTTAAATGATTTTAAACTTTTAACGTGCGTTTAGGTACGTAAAAAAACACGAAAGTGGAAAACAGCCCTTAAGCTACAAGCTAATTTACAAAGATTTCGTACTGTTTTGCTTCAAAGCATGAAATTTAAATTCTCGCAAGTCCAGGGGCGTAGCCAAACGGGAAATGGGGTGTTTTTAAGTGAAACTTTTCAAGCTTCTTACCTGTTGAGAATGTGTTCATAATTGGAAATCCAGGACTTAAAGAACGTTCCTTTGGTGGCACTAAAAAGAAAAATGATGTGGAAATACAATAATCAAGAGTGAATATGGAGACAGAAATACAAGAATCAAGAGTGGATATGGAGAGTTAAATTTTTCAGTTTCATTGCAAGCCTCACTTGCATCATGTCTTGTGCATAACAAAGTGAAAATAACAAATAAATAAACCGAAAGCAGATAATAATTTAGATATACTCATAAACTAGACACCGTGGATTTTAGTAAGAGTTGATTTCATAAGTATCATTTAAATGATTTTAAACTTTTAATTGCGTTTACATACGCACAAAAAACACGAAAGTGGAAGACAACCCTTAAGCCACAAGCTAATTTACAAAGATTTCGTATTGTTTTCCTTTAAAACTTGAAATTTAAACATTCACTGAAGCTGGGAGAGTCTATGGAAAGTCTGCGAAATACAGATAATGTACAAACGTCGACAGAATATCGGTCGACTTTTACGCTACTTTTATGACTATTTTTGGACTAAATTTAATGACGGCAGAAGTCAGTGAATATGGAGACAGAAGTTCAATAATCAAGAGTGAATATGGAGAAGAATGTTGTGAATACCCAGAGAACATTCCAAAGAACATTTTTCTACGTCCATATCAAAACAAAGCTCGCTTGACCCTCCACCGAAACCATAAATTTCTTCATCACCTGTTCATGCCAGAGAAAAATAAGTTAATAATTTAGATTTACTGCGTATAGACAATACGTTCAGTTCTGGAGTAAAATGATAATATATATGTTATTTACCAGATTGGAGGTCTGTATAGGGAAATATTTCCCAAGGTCTCAAAAACAGCCCGAGCCCGAAGGCCGAGGGACGTTTTTAAGACCGAGGGAAATATTTCCATATACAGACCGACTAAACTGGTAAATAATAGATTTATTTTTTTTCTTGCGGTTTGAATTCGTATTTTAGCGTTGGCTCTGCGCTTTTAAATCTCGCCCGGTCCGTACGGCCTCATACGGACCGCTCGCGTAGCCAATCAGATTGCAGAAAACGCTAAAATATGAATTCGGACCGCAAGGAAAAAAAATATATCCAGTGCGAAACGTTTAGATTGTCATAAATTTTCTTTACCAGTAGAATCATATAATCGATGCGAAGAATCGAAATCCGTAAATTCGGGAGAAAAATTACGCACCATCAAACCAGGATATGCAAGCTGTAAAAAATATTATTCATTTGAAATATGGCAAAGAGATAAAATATTTTTTTAGAGTTTCAGCACATTTAGGGACAGAAAATCATCCTAAGCTATATACTATAAATTCTACTGAAATACACGAATGTAGGTTAGGATTATGTTTTAGATTAGGTTCATGGTTGATGAGGGTTAGCCTTAATCCTTAATCCTTAATCCTTAATCCTAACCCTAATCCACGGACATGGAATTATTAACAATTTGGGTTTGAGGATGGCAGCCAAGTTATCGTTCCAGTCTAAGTAGAGTTCAGTGTTACTTTATTAACAAACCTCATGAGCTGCGCCCAAAAGTTCATCAACATCACCAGAAGACAATGATTCCTCCTCTGATTCATCCTCTGAGTCCTCTGATTCCCCCTCTGATTCCTCATCGTCCTCCTCGAACCCAATATATCCCAAGATATCCACATCTTCTCCATCAAGAATTTCGTCGACGTCCGGCGCAGTTGTCGAATCAAAGGTCTCGCCTTCTTCACGCTTTTCAATTGCGACAAAACTTGTGAACTTGGACGTGACTGAGTATTTCTTGCTTATTTCAATAATATAATCTTTGCGAGACACCTTGACCGCCTGGAAAATAAGATTACAACGTCGTTCAAGAACAATTACAAAATTAAACCTCCATGAAAAAAAATTACGACAATTTTCCGTGAATTTTGATGCAAAGCCTTGTTTACACCTGCGATTTTCCCTGATGTGCGATTTTCTCCTTTCGATAGATGCGAATGAACGAATAAGTTGCGGATGTTCATCTTAGGAGACTTATACATTAGAACATTGACAACTTTTGCTCGTTCCCATCTGTCAAAAGCAGAAAATCGCACTTAAAATTGCAGCAAAAATTGAAAGTCTAAATGGGCATAAACGTGGTGTTATAAGCATTTAGTTATAATCAAGACTAGTGTTATTAATAATCAAACAATATTGAAATACCAGCTAAAACAATAAGTGTAGTGGTTCAGCCTACACAGACCTGGTGATGGAGGTGGTCTGGGGCAAGTAATCCTTCTTCCCAATCATTAATCAGTGCCCTGGCTGTCAGCTGATGCAAGGTTGAACCAGAGGTGATACTCAGTTCTGACGTTGAGACCATTGTTGAAATCTCCTTGCCATTTATCATAGCTTTTAATGTCGCCTGGAAAAAACAAATAAGAGATGATCCTTACTGTACCTCTAGGAAGAACAGCTTAGAACTGATAGAGCTAACCACTATAAATAAAGTTAGTTTAGTTTAGGTTTCCTCCTGTAGTAGCACTGGGTCAATAAGAGATGATCCTTACTGGATCTCTAGAAAGAACAGTTTAGAACTGATAGAGCTATCCAGTATAAATAAAGTTAGTTTAGTTTAGGTTTCCTCCTGTAGTAACACTGGAACAATAAGAGATGATCCTTACTAGACCTCTAGGAAGAACAGTTTAGAACTGATAGAGCTATCCAGTATAAATAAAGTTAGTTTAGTTTAGGTTTCCTCCTGTAGTAACACTGGAACAATAAGAGATGATCCTTACTGGACCTCTAGGAAGAACAGTTTAGAACTGATAGAGCTATCCAGTATAAATAAAGTTGGTTTAGTTTAGGTTTCCATACAGTTCAGATCTCCATACCTGGGTACAGTAAGGAACAAAGCCATACACCACTTGTCTCGAGCCATTGAAAAGCGATAATATTTGGCTTGGGGCCTGGATTGGAGTTGGTGCGTCATTATCAAACTGTTGCCAGGCAACAGATACTGACGTGAGGACAGGTTGTTGCGACCTCGAGATAAAAGACTCCACTTTTCTTTTCCATTTTGACTTGACTTTCTCGTCAAAGTATTCCGACGCGCCTGCGCCAACTTTTGCCAAAGTCCGCAAGAAATAACGATTTGCAGAAGAGCTATAAAATAGAAAGACATTGAATTCTAGTTTCTGCTCATCTCAACTCATTGCCGAGGTTTATGTGTTTACAATGGCAAGGAATTGGTTTGAATCCTGTTTCAAAGATTTGTTATCGAAATGTATTACGCTAGACTAACGCCTGTATTCTAAAAGCTAGACTAACGCCTGTATTCTAAAAGCTAGACTAACGCCTGTATTCTAAAAGCTTGACTAACGCCTGTATTCTAAAAGCTAGACTAACGCCTGTATTCTAAAAGCTAGACCGACGCCTGTATTCTAAAAGCTAGACTAACGCCTGTATTCTAAAAGCTAGACTAACCCCTGTATTCTAAAAGCTAGACTAACGCCTGTATTCTAAAAGCTAGACTAACGCCTGTATTCTAAAAGCTAGACTAACGCCTGTATTCTAAAAGCTAGACTAACGCCTGTATTCTAAAAGCTAGACTAACGCCTGTATTCTAAAAGCTAGACTAACGCCTGTATTCTAAAAGCTAGACTAACGCCTGTATTCTAAAAGCTAGACTAACGCCTGTATTCTAAAAGCTAGACTAACGCCTGTATTCTAAAAGCTAGACTAACGCCTGTATTCTAAAAGCTAGACTAACGCCTGTATTCTAAAAGCTAGACTAACGCCTGTATTCTAAAAGCTAGACTAACGCCTGTATTCTAAAAGCTAGACTAACGCCTGTATTCTAAAAGCTAGACTAACGCCTGTATTCTAAAAGCTAGACTAACGCCTGTATTCTAAAGCTAGACTAACGCCTGTATTCTAAAGCTAGACTAACGCCTTATTCTAAAAGCTAGACTAACGCCTGTATTCTAAAAGCTAGACTAACGCCTGTATTCTAAAAGCTAGACCGACGCCTGTATTCTAAAAGCTAGACTAACGCCTGTATTCTAAAAGCTAGACTAACCCCTGTATTTTAAAAGCTAGACTAACGCCTGTATTCTAAAAGCTAGACTAACGCCTGTATTCTATAAGCTCGCTCGCACTCAAACTCATTGAGTGGGAGGTCTTAAAATTCTCATAACGTTTCCATAACGTTATTTTCAGTAGAATAGGGGCTTGATTTTCAGTGATTTACCTTCTGCCTCCAACTATTTAGAAAGAACTTTCTTATTGTCCAGCATTAACAAAATATTTATGTCACACTCAATGAGATGAGTGTGAGTGTGCTTTTTGGATATGGGTGTATATCTCACGCTGCTTGTTCTAAGATTATTGACAAGTGTTCAAAGCCCAAAACAAAGAGATGTGCGTCCAGGGGCGTTACTAGAACGATGATTGGGGGGGGGGGTGAATATATTCATATATTCAGTTCTGCCCGACGGATTTCTATTGTCAGCTATTGCAATTACAAAAAGAAATCCGTAGGGCAGAACTGGATATATGAATATTCACCCCCCCCCAATTATCGTTTTAGTTACGCCACTGTATGCGTCTTTTGTATCAAGTTATATCATCTTGATATGCGTTATGCCACCTTGAAAATATTCATCCATAAACACTGTAACTTACCCTACACCAAACGTGAATATCCTGGTCTGAGCAAAGCCACTGGTTGCCAGTCTCAAAACCATCTCGGTTTCGGTCACGTGCCCATCACTGAGAACACACACGTTCCTCACGTGGACATTGGATCTCACCGGTAGTAGACTTAAAGCTCTTAAAATCTTCCAGAGATCAGTGGCTCCCATATCACTGGTGCGGTTCTAAATAGGAATGATAATGATTACATGAAGTTTCCAACACAGCTAAAGTACGCGTTACTTTATAGTATTTTACTCTGTCTAATGTCAGATGATTTTACTCGTCAGTGGAAGAGTACTGTCAGTTAATAAGTTAACAAAACTATCTGTCAGTGTCTCTTGTTAACCCATTAGCTTGCAATGCACCCAGATGTGGCCTTCTTTAGTATTTTACTCTGTCTAATGTCAGATGATTTTACTCATCAGTGGAAGAGTAGTGTCAGTTAACAAGTTAACAAAACTATCTGTCAGTGTCTCTTGTTAACCCATTAGCTTGCAATGCATCCAGATGTGACCTACTTTAGTATTTTACCTGTCTAATGCCAGATGATTTTACTCATCAGTGGAAGAGTACTGTCAGTTAATAAGTTAACAAAACTATCTGTCAGTGTCTCTTGTTAACCCATTAGCTTGCAATGCACCCAGATGTGACCTACTTTAGTATTTTACCTGTCTAATGCCAGATGATTTTACTCATCAGTGGAAGAGTACTGTCAATTAATAAGTTAACAAAACTATCTGTCAGTGTCTCTTGTTAACCCATTAGCTTGCAATGCTCCCAGATGTGGCCTACTTTAGTATTTTACTCTGTCTAATGCCAGATGATTTTACTCATCAGTGGAAGAATACTGTCAGTTAATAAGTTAACAAAACTATCTGTCAATGTCTCTTGTTAACCCATTAGCTTGCAATGCACCCAGATGTGACCTACTTTAGCATTTTACTCTGTCTAAAGCCTGTCTAAAAAGTTGTTAAAACGTCCTTTGAACTTACTTTAACAAAAGCAGCAGCTTCTTTCATACTTTTCTCCGTCTTCTCAACACTTGACGGAAATAACTCCAACCATTGGTTTCCAAAAGCAACGATATTAAACCTAGCGTTTGCTGGTAGTTTGTTCAGGGCAAGAAGTAGAATTTTCTTTGCATTGTCAATAGAAGATCCCTGTATTGATAAAAACTCGATAAAATAGGTTTGAAAAATAAGAAAATTTAGTGTGAAGCTTGAATCTTCCATTAAACTGAACGATATGAAAGCCATGAATCGTTCCTACCTTCATTGAACAAGACACATCCAATAGGAAGACATATTCGACATTTTCAATCGGGTCTGCCTCGAATTCAGGGTAAAAAGACAACATACAAGCCTGGATAAAAACAAAAATGGCTGAAACGAAATGGCTGAACACGAAAAACAAAAACGTTTTTCGTGTCCTCATATAGGGGAAGCTTTTGGGTGGAAAAGGTGATTTTCATGAACGCGAGAAAAAACTCACAAATGCTTCAAAATCTTTAGTGATATCAGACAGTACAGTTTACAACTTTCAGAGTTTTCTGACCGTAAAAGTGCTGGACAAATGAAGCAAGAAAGAATCGCTTAATTTTAACATCAAAATTATGGTAATCGATCGAAGTTTGTTTCCAGAGTTTTCTCACCGTAAACGTGCTGGACAAATGAAGCAAGAATCGCTTAATTTGAACATCTAAATTATGGTAATTGTTCGAAGTTTGTTTCCTTAAAGAATACGACCAGCATGCAGATTTTCTTTATTAGAAAGTCAGAAATGATATTCAACCTGCGAGTCTGCGTTTTCGGGATGTCTCTCGGCCCACATTCGTGGAACGTGGATTTCCGCGAGACCAATCAACAATTGAAAACCATTGTCCAGTTTTTGACCTTCCTTCATCTCCAGAACCGCTTTTGTTGCTGTTTTCTGTAAGAAAGACTAGACATTTGAGTGTGTGCATGGTTGGTAGATAAGGTAGGGTGTAAAGGTGGGGGCACAGAGATGGGGGTGTAGAGTTGGGGGTACAGAATGGGGATGTAGAGGTCGGAGTGTGGAGGTGGGGGTGTAGAGATGCGGTGTAGAGGTGGCGGCTCAGAGATAGGGGTGTAGAGGTGGGGTGTAGAGGTGGGAGTGTAGAGATGCGATGCGGAGGTGGGGGATACAGATATGGAGGTGTAGAGGTACGGTGTAGAGATGCGATGCAGAGGTGGGGGTACAAAGATGAGGGTGTAGAGGTGGGTGTGTAGAGGTGGGTGTGTAGAAGTGGGGGTGTAGGGGTGGGGGTGCAGGCCACAGACCTTTAATCTAACAACGTGTGTAGGACAGTCCAGTGTTCTTATATCGAACGGCATCTCAACAGCAATGTGAACAGAAAGATCACAAGAATCATCATCACGAGCTTGAAAACTCTGAAGAACATTCTATAGTACGGAAAACACCACAGTTAATTTAGAGGAAACATCAACTAAACTAACTTTATTTATACTGGATAGCTCTAACAGTTCTAAACTGTTCTTCCTAGAGATCCAGTAAGGATCATCTCTTATTGATCCAGTGTTACTACAGGAGGAAACCTAAACTAAACTAACTTTATTTATACTGGATAGCTCTAACAGTTCTAAACTGTTCTTCCTAGAGGTCCAGTAAGGATCATCTCTTATTGATCCAGTGTTACTACAGGAGGAAACCTAAACTAAACTAACTTTATTTATACTGGATAACTCTATCAGTTCTAAACTGTTCTTCCTATGAACTTCACTATCGATCATTACAAAAGTAAACTATACGTAAAATCGTACTTGTGTGCTTTCTTTCAGCGCCTGATCACGTGACCATGGTGCGAGGGAACCGGGGAGACTGAACACTATATTCTCATCTTCAACAGCAAGCTCAGCAACGTACGTTATTTTGATCAAGACGGTCGCTCCGGGAGGGATATTACCAACACTAACCGTAAACACATCCTGCGATGAAAACAGACCAAAATACATAAAATATTCTCATCTACCGATGTTTCAGAATATCTCGCCAATTTTTTAAAAAAAACTACATGCGGACTACCAAACTTAACCAATGATAATCAACCGATTATTGGGGAAATTAAAAGTGTCAGAAAACCTACTGAATCGATATCAAAATCACTAGGTCTTGCTTGGTCGGGAGACTATGATTCACTTAAACTGTTTGTTGCTGAATCACTAAGGTTACAGGGTACCTGGACTCAACCTGGCGGGGATAGAAAAGTGTTTAATTTTTACTAAAGCAATAAGATGATGACGTGAACTTACTGGCGTCTCCTCGTCCATCAAATAAGCCCCATGCCCCTCGCTGATGGCTTTCTTGTACTCCTTGTGGGCTTGTTCTTTCTCCTTTACTTCACCAACGATATGTTTACCATTGATAAATGCCTCAAAACCACACACTAGAGAAAGATAGTTTAGTTTAGGTTTCCTCCTGTAGTAACATTAGATCAATAAGAGATGATCCTTACTGGATCTCTAGGAAGAACAGTTTAGAACTGATAGAGCTATCCAGTATAAATAAAGTTAGCTTAGTTTAGGTTTCCTCCTGTAGTAACACTGGATCAATAAGAGATGATCCTTACTGGACCTCTAGGAAGAACAGTTTAGAACTGATAGAACTATCCAGTATAAATAAAGTTAGTTTAGTTTAGGTTTCCTTCTGTAGTAACACTGGATCAATAAGAGATGATCCTTACTTGATCTCAATAAAAAAATCTTGAAAAAATAAGAAGATTTAAATCTATACCAGCAGCCATGTCATCCAATGGAAAAACATATTTGGCTTCAATTGGTTTGTCACTTGAATTCTTATAAACTTGCATGACAACAACTTTCGCACAGAGGTCCAAAAGTTTCGCTCTAATATGAACGGACTTTAAAGGCACCAAGGTGTCTCCATCAGATCGCAATCCTGGTTTCACTTTGGTCAGTGGATCTTCAAGAGCCTCGATATCAGAGGTTGTAATATTTGGAGCAAATTCTTCTTCATCCGATGATGACATTGCTTCCTCGTCAAGAGAAATTGCTGTTGTGGGTTCAACGAGAACATCTTCACTAAAAATTGTTGGGAAAAGAGAGATGCAAAATGTCTTTCTCTGAAGGCCAATATTTCTTGCAACTTGCAATGCAATTCTACTTTTGAGAGATCTAAATTTGGCCACCAGGAAACTTTTCTGTTTATTACACTCCACGTTCGTTTCTTACACTTACATTTTGAATACTCTGTACTAAATCACATGTCTTAAAAGTAGGATTGCATTGCATTAAGTTGCAAGAAAAATTGCACCGTGAAACACAACCTCGTTAACGCACCGTCTTGAGCACAAAAGACCCTGGGAACGAGGTAAGCGTGTAACACGGCTTTGACCTCGCTTGAACCTCGTTCCCCGAGCCCACGATTCCTCTGGCGAGAAAACAAAGGCTCTGGGATAATCTGAACCGGTTTGTAACCGTTTTCTGTATTTCAAAATTGGAACGGCGTGAACGACTAATCAGAATAACTTCTGTTCAGGAATTTCCTTAACAAATCATTCAATATATATTCTTTCTTAGTACGATACAATAAAAATTTTTTACCGTTAATCTATACATTTTTCTGTAATCTCAGGTCAATAGCGATGGTTTACAAGCAAATTTGTGGCGCTTTCTTGCTATATGGGAAAGCGAAAATCTTTCATTAATCATAACCCTGATTTAAACCATTATTGAAATATTTGAAAAATGATTGTTTATATTCTTGTTTGCTTCTACAAAGAATCAAATTTCTAAAAACTAAATGTTTTGAAATTTAGGAACCACTTATTACGAGTTTTGTGCCATAGTTCTTTGCGAAAAACATGCATAAAATTACATGATCTACAATTACAATGCATAAAATTACATGATCTACAATGATACATATCTACAATCAAATATTTTGAATATCAACTCCAAATAGTTCATATTATGATTATGGCGATATTTCACATAAACGAGCTAATCAACATCCTACGTCAATTTTCACACAACAACAGCAGTGGACATCCATCTTCCTTGAGACATTTCTGGAAGTTCTTCCCAAGAATACCTTTCAAAGTTGAAACCTTCAACTGACTTCAGCATTCCTTGCCCACCCCACCCTCCCAGGACTACAATGTTGTTTTCAATAACACCTGCAGTACATGTACTCCTCTTACATCTCATTGATGGCAGCATGTGACTTTGTTCTGTCTTGACATTGTATATGATAACTGTATTTAATGTGTTGCCATGTTTGTCATCACCACCAATAACAACAATGTTGTCTCCCCATCTCACAGTTGCCATGAGACTCACCTCATACGGCAGTGGTGACAACTGTTTCAGCTCATTCTTCTTTATATCGTACAGTACGACACTGCTGAGGCTGTCTTTGTAACCGCCAGTTGTACTTCCACCAACTATCAACAAATTATCATCAAATATTTCCATGCTGTGATATAGTCTTGGTTCTGGCATTCTTGATAAGGTCTTCACAGTATAGGGAGGAACAAGCTGGACTGCTCTGATCAAGTCAGAGAAACCATTTCCATTACCACCTCCAGAGACTATCAACTGATCATTATACAGCACACTGCTGTGGTCTCGCAACTTCTCAGGTAGTTTAACAGCACAGTCACTCCAGTGTGTTGAGAGATCAGGGTTTGGGTCAATATTCATTCTAATCATATCATCAACACTGCCAGACCCACCACAGTCACCCCCAGCTATAGTCATATGATTGTTATAAATAAATGAAGTCGCTCCAAATCGTTTCTTTGGCATTGATTGTAATGGTGACCATGTTCTTTGACGCCAGTTAAACATCTCTACAGAGTTAGTCAATTAACCTCCAGCAACAATAATATTTTCCTTATCACCACTTGGTCTATTTATTACTTTTCTTGTGTTTTCCTCTATCTTGCCCTCCATCGTGAAAAGAACGTCCTTCATTTCATCAAAAGCTCTGACCAAAGCTGTTTTCAATCCTTTGACTTCGTTGTTAACCGCTTCGAGTTTTCCTTCCATATCTGATTTCATATCTGCTTTTAAATCCGCAGTATTTTTGTCTATTTTTCTCTCTAAATTTGTTATTTTAGTTTCAATTGTTATATTATTCTGCGCCATTCTTTCCTCCATATCTGCCAAAGTTTTCGTCATTTCTCCGCACGAGTGACACTTCAACTTTCGGAATTCACAGACTTCATTTTCATGGTGAATAAGATCACACTTGTTGACAATTAAACCACAGCCTTGGTTTCTACAAACGGCTGGTGTATATCCACATGTATCTTCATGGCGGTCAAGATGCTGTAATTCTACAACTTCTTGACAACCTCTGTCGATGTAAACGCAACGAATTTTTGATTCATTCAAATAATCTTTTATCATTCTTTGTGGTTCGGCCAAAGTCTCTACGGTCAGTTCATCAGCACACGTTGGGCATGTTTCAGAATTTTCCAGATGTTTCGTAATGCAACAACGGCAAAAAGAATGCTGGTTTCTCGAACACATAACCGGCTCTTTCAAGACATTGAAGCAAATCTGACAGAGGAAATTTTGATTGATTTTGTCCACAAACCTTTCTTCATCGTAGCCTTGTATGTATGAAGCCATATTTCACGTCGTTCTTGTGTCGTAATAATAAAGCAAGTTCTGTGTTGTTTGTAGCTCTGTAGTATAAACCTCGCTGTATAGACTGAATATAGATACAGTGTTCGTTCTTGGAGAAGTCTGTGTATTTGCTTGAAATCTTTTGATCGGTTTAGAAAATGGAGACAAATATTGCTTCCCCTTCGGTAAGGTGTTTAAAGCGTCTTTATGAAAAAAAATATATTTTTGTCAGGTCTTGTGACGAAAGGTCATCACCTCTTGTTCAAATACTGACTTGCAATTGGTTGTGTTTTAGTGTATATATTGGCAGGAATTTCTTATATCATTATATGGAAATGAGTTCGAAGAAAACGATACTTTAAACCAAGAAATATCAATCATAATAATGAAATATTTAGACTAGAAATATCAATCATAATAATGAAATATTTAGACTAAGTCTAAGTACATTGTAATCGATGTTGATAAAGTCTGCATCAGAATTTGTCTCAAATCTTTTACAAAATCATGTGTTAAAACATACAAACTGCCTTTATTTTAAAATATTTCACACAACGCTACACAGACTGACATATATTTTGTTTAAAATATCGCAACGGGTGGTCGCCAGGCAATATTATTATTGGTTTCAACTGGTTTTATCAGTGAGGGTTTTTAATTGCAGTGTTTTAACGTTTTAACAGTCGACTAATTCCTAAGTATTAAGACGTGTCTTACTGACGTTTGTCGTAGCTTATTTGCTAGAAAAAAATGTCGCCATTATGAAATTTTGCAACAACTTTGTTGCAAAATATCAGGATTTGTAATTGTTCAGCGAAATAATATATGAGAATGATATTCCTCGGTCTGTTGTATAAAAAGGTATTGAATCACAATTGGTCAATCACAATTCCGTATTCTGTAGTTAACTACGATAATTATCTGTCGCATTGCATTGGATCAATCCTTTTATATAATTTAAACTCACATTCGCTCTTGTCAGCTTACTCCGTACAATGTATATAGCTCAGTGACCAGAGCTGTTCACGTCATCGCTCATGACGTAATGTTTGATTTCTGAAGGAAGCCTGGAAGTCTGGTAATTGCTAAATTCTTCTCAACTGTCCCAAGGTTAGGACTTAAAACTATATAAATTTCACTCGATTTTCCATCAACCAAAAACTCACACGTAAAAATGGTTCGATTCGACTCAAATGAAAAATAATTTTGCCATTTGTACGAGAGTTTTCCTACGAATTTAGAAATAACTTTGTAAGAAAGTGTCTTTATAACCAAACTTATCCATGCAAAAAGGAATAAAAATATTGACAATGGATCGTTTAGGGATTTCCTTAATAAATCATTTAATATTTATTCTTTCTTAGTACGATACAATATGAAAATTTTTACCATTAATCTATTTACAAACATTTTGCTGTAATTTCAAGTAAATAGCGATGGTTTACAAGCAAATTTGTGGCGCTTTCTTGCTATATGGGAAAGCGAAAGTCTTTCGTTAATCATAATCCTGATTTGAACCGTTATTGAAATATTTGAAAAATGATTGTTTATATTCTTGTTTGCTCCTACAAAGAATCAAATTTGTCTAAAAACTAAATGTTTTGAAATCTAGAAACCACTTGTTACGAACTTTGTGCCATAGTTCTTTGCGAAAAAACATGCATAAAATGACATAATATATCTACAACTAAATATTTTGAATATCTACTCTAAATAGTTCATATTATGATTATGGCGATACTTCACATAAACGAGCTCATCAACATCCTACGTCAATTTTCACACAACAACAGCAGTGGACATCCATCTTCCTTGAGACATTTCTGGAAAATCTTCCCAAGAATACCTTTCAAAGTTGAAACCTTCAACTGACTTTAGGTCTCCTCCCTCACCCGACCCTCCCAGGACTACAATGTTGTTTTCAATAACAACTGCAGTACATCCCGACCTCTTACATCTCATTGATGGCAGCATGTGACTTTGTTCTGTCTTGACATTGTAAATGATAACTGTATCAAATGCATTGTTATGTTTGTCAACACCACCAATAAAAACGATTTTGTCTCCCCATCTCACAGTTGCCATGTGACTCACTTCATACGGCAGTGGTGACAACTGTTTCAGCTCATTCTTCTTCATATCGTACAGTACGACACTGCTGAGGCTGTCTTTAAACTTGTGAGTTGTTCTTCCACCAACGATCAACAAATTATCATCAAATATTTCCATGCTGTGATATCTTCTTGGTTCTGGCATTCTTGATAAGGTCTTCACAGTATAGGGAGGAACAAGCTGGACTGCTCTGATCAAGTCAGATGAACCATTTCCATTATCACCTCCAGAGACTATCAACTGATCATTATACAGCACACTGCTGTGGTGACACAACTTATCAGGTAGTTTAACAGGACAGACACTCCAGTGTGTTGAGAGATCAGGGTTTGGGTCAATATTCATTCTAATCATATCATCAACAATGCCAGACCCATCACAGAGACCCCCAACTATAGTCATATGATTGTTATAAATAAACGAAGTCGCTCCATCACGATTCTCTGGCATTGATTGTAATGGCGACCATGTTCTTTGACGCCAGTTAAACATCTCTACAGAGTTAGTTTTATAACCTCCAGCAACAATTATATTTTCCTTATCACCACTTGGTTTATTTACTTCTTTTCTTTTGTTTTCTTCTTGCTTGCCCTCCATCGTGATAAGAACGTCCTTCATTTCATCAAAAGCTCTGACCAAAGCTGTTTTCAAACCTTTGACTTCGTTGTTAACCGCTTCGAGTTTTCCTTCCATATCTGCTTTTATATCTGCGACAGCGGTACTTCTTGCCATATTCCTCTGTAAATTTGTAATTTTAGTTTCAATTATTACATTATTCGTCTCGATATTTCCCATTCTTTCATCCATATCTGCCAAAGTTTTCGTCATTTCTCTGCACGAGTGAGACTTCAACTTTCGGAATTCACAGACTTCACTTTCATGGTGAATAAGATCACGCTTGTTGACAATTAAACCACAGCCTTGGTTTGTACAAACGGCTGGTGTATATCCACATGTATCTTCATGCCGGTCAAGATGCTGTAATTCTACAACTTCTTGACAACCTCTGTCGATGTAAACGCAACGAATTTTTAACTCATTTATAAGATCTTTTACCATTCTTTGTGGTTCGGCCAAAGTCTCTACGGTCAGTTCATCAGCACATGTTGGGCATGTTTGAGAATTTTCCAGATGTATCGTAATACAACAACGGCAAAAAGAATGCTGGTTTCTCGAACACATAACCGGCTCTTTCAAGACGTTGAAGCAAATCTGACAATGAAAATTTTGATTGATTTTGTCCACAAACCTTTCTTCATCGTAGCCTAGTATATATGAAGCCATATTTCACGTCGTTCTTGTGTCGTAATAATAAAGCAAGTTCTGTGTTGTTTGTCGCTCTGTAGTATAAACCTCGCTTTATAGACTGAATATATATACAGTGTTCGTTCTTAGAGAAGTCTGTGTATTTGCTTGAAATCTTTTGATCGGTTTAGAAAAGGCAGACAAATATCGCTTCGGTATAAAGTGTTGAAAGCGTCTTTTGTTGACAGGAATTTGTAGTATGAAAAAAGATATTTTTAACATGTCTTCATTGTCTTGTGACAAAAGCTCAGCATCTCGTATTCAAATACTGACTTGCAACTGGTTGTGTTTATATTGGTAGGAATTTCTTATTTCATTATATGGAAAGAAAAATCAATCATAATAATAAAATATTTAGACGAAGTACATTGTAATCAATGTTGATAAAGTCTGTATCAGAATTTGTCTCACATCTTTTACAAAATCATGTGTTAAAACATACAAACTGCCTTTGTTTAAAAATATTTCACACAACGCTACACAGACTGATATATATTTTGTTTATAATATTGCAACGGGTGGTTGCCAGGCAATATTATTATTGGTTTCAACTGGTTTTATCAGTGAGGATTTTTAATACCAGTGTTTTAACGTTCTAATAGTCGGCTAATTCCTAAGTATTAAGACGTGATTTACTGACGTTTGTTGTAGCTTATTTGCTACCGAAAAATGTCGCCATTATGAAATCAGGAACTACTTTAAGGAAATTATCAGGATTTGTAATTGTTCGGCGCATTATTGCGAGGAGAGTCCAAATAACATCATCTTGGAAACTCAAGATTTGAGTTCGTAGAACTCTCGTTATGTTTCGACTTTATTCCAAAGTTTTTGTCCATGGGTTTGACAGTGACTTTGGAATAACAGATTTTCTTCTTTTGATGGATGTGATCGAGTTGATAAATTAGGAATGCTTGAAATAAGAGCAATTGTATACACAAAGCATTCATAACTATTCACTCGTTTCCATCTGTCACTTGTCGCTTTGCGAATATATGTGAAAAGACTGATAGCCTGGTTTTTCGCCTTTGCTTCTACCCGCAAATTTTAGGGCGGGTGAAACGTAGGTCTGTGTTCAGGCTAAATTCACCGGCGAAGTCCGGTTTTCATTTCATCGTAATTGTCGTGAAGAAGTCATTTTCACCGATGAGAAATAGTCCGGATGTAAATTTGTCTTTATTTCAGTGTTTAAATCGGTCATTGTCGACTACACACACATAGAGATACTCTCAATCACATCAAACACCTTGACATGTTCACGACACTCACGAATAAACGGAAACCAGAAGCCAGGGGCCGGTTGTTCGAAAGGCGTTTAGCTTAAACGGTGGATAAGTTCAAAAAAAAAAACCAAATTAACAATTTATTGAACAACTGAGCTGAAATATTTCGATGTAAATAGTTTAATTGTCAATGGAAGTACACATTGAATGCATAAGATGCAGGTTCAGTCATTCACAAGATGTATTAGAGTATTTTTAAACTTTGGCTTATCCACCGTTTAAGCTAAACGCCTTTCGAACAACTAGCCCCAGTTGTTCAAAGCTGGGTTAGCGCTAACCCTGGGTTAAATTTTAATCCACTTTTAAGTGCTTCAGAGCCGCTGTTCGTTTTAAAATCTTTACAAAATATGGCTTTGCCAGTTCAGAAAATGTTTATGGAAAAGATATTCAACTTTGTGAACAAGCGATGAAAAATATTGATGTAAAGATTTTCTTTAACCAAGGGTTAGGCTAACCTACTTTTGAACAACTGGTCCCAGGCATAAATGAAATTCAGCCCTTAGGAGCTGTTGTTGAACGATGGTTAAAGGATTAGAAATTGATTAAACACGCACCCAGGCCCCTCTCCTCCTACCTTCCACGTCCAATGACAGTATCATCGATGATGACATCCGTTACATCGTCTTCTGGTAAACTAAACTCGACCAAATATCGAATCCTTTGTTGGTTGACAGAGTAAACAACATATTCGTCTTCTTCAAATTCTGATGGACAAGAATTTGGTTGGTTTTTGACACCGTGACAGCTCTGGTAGCCATCGGGCGCATGCTCCAAATCATAGGTGAATTCTGTGAAGTCCTGGAAACGAAAGACCAATTCATTATTGAACATGCGGTCAGTAATGAGAGTAGTTGACTTTCTCCAAGTCTCGCTCAAAATGGTTTTAGATTTTGATAGGTCTATCCGCGGTAATTTTGAGATCAGTGCGTACTACAGATCTCAAGATTACCCTGGATAGACCTATCGAAATCTAAAACCATTTTGAGCGAGGCTTGGAACAAATCTATGAGACTAGTGGATATTGAAACTGAATGAAGAGTTTGTGATGATTTGTGATGGTGCTATAACTCTGTCTCTGAGTTACCAGCCACGCAAGATGTAAGACTTGCTTTACCACTGTGGGAATCGAACCAGCGACCTTTGCTTTGCTAGTCCACCTCACGTGATGGACAATCACAATTCACCTTATACCCACATTCACTATCACTTTAAGACACACAGGTATGGCAGGGACTAGATCAGTTGAACACCGCAGAAATTGGTGTTTATGAAGTTTCAAGCCGGAAATCTATAAACACTGGTTCGCAATTGTGCATTTCTGTATCGCTATCAAAGAGAAAACTATTGAATAACTTTGAAAAGTTCAATTTTTCTTCTAAATACGCATTCTGCAATCTTTTGACAGCTCATCATACACATCTGACAGCTGTGAAATGGCCATTTTGAGGCTTGAAGTATACACAAGGTTATTAATTCAGACGATTCGTTTTTGCCATGTGCAAGCTTCAAATCTTTTGTGCAAGACATATTTTGCTCAGTATTTATGCAGCGGTTTTCTCACCAAGTTTGAAGCCAAAGTACTGAGAATTGCAGGTTAGTCTTACCAATTTTTGCGGTGTCAATTATTTGACTTTCAGAGTCAAAGATAGATTCAGCAATTAAAAATAATAGCTATTTACCTTGACACGCCCTAACGCAACCTCGCATATGAGAAGTAACCGTGTTCCCCGAGTTTTTCCTGGGGACGAGTACTTCACACTCGTCGTCGCATCCGAACCGAAGTAGATTCCAGTCCCCAAGTTACCAGCGTCCGAGCGCTCACCTCCGAAATCACGGACCACAATTTTGGGGGGAAGAAGACCCCGGGATAAAATACCCAGGAAATTTTGCGCTTTCGAGGAATGGAAGAGTTGACGAATGTTTCCAAGATGGGATTCGAAATGCGCTGACTCGGCTGGACGTTGGCATGAAAATATGTTCTGTACTTTGATATTCCTAGAAAAAAATGTATAAATAAAGTTGTCTTAGTTTAGGTTTCCTCTTGTAGTAACACTGGATCAATAAGAGATGATCCTTACTGGACCTTTAGGAGAATAGTTTAGAACTGATAGAGCTATCCAGTATAAATAAAGTTAGTTTAGTTTAGGTTTCCTCCTGTAGTAACACTGGATCAATAAGAAATGATCCTTACTGGACCTCCAGGAAGAACAGTTTAAAACTGATAGAGCTATCCAGTATAAATAAAGTTAGTTTAGTTTAGGTTTCCTCCTGTAGTAACACTGGATCAATAAGAGATGATCCTTACTGGACCTCTAGGAAGAACAGTTTAGAACTGATAGAGCTATCCAGTATAAATAAAGTTAGTTTAGTTTAGGTTTCCTCCTGTAGTAAAACTGGATCAATAACAGATTATCCTTGCTGGACCTTTAGGAAGAACAGCTTAGAACTAAAATAAATCTTAGAGGAACCTATGTGATTTCAATTTTAGGAGAAAATAGCTGGCAAATATTTCCTTACCTGGTCGAGGATGACAGCACTTTATTGACAATGTTCAAGTATTCGTCTGTTGTCTTCGAAAGACTTTCAAGATGACAACCGCACGCTTTGTATTTTGCTTCGTCGCTGCTTCGCGTTGAGAAATTCGTCGCTTCGTTTACATTTAAGATGTCTTTAATTAACTAAAGAAGAATAAAAATTAGCCTCGATAAATTGGAAATCTATTTTTAATATTTTGAGTATTTTATTATATACCTTTGGGGGAAAAATAGTCAAATTTAACCAAAATATTGTCGATATAAAAAAGAGCGGGAAAACTTCCGTCAATTTCCGGAATGATACGAGAACTTCCCGCGCTTTCCGATACTAACTCGCGGCCTTTGATTGGCTTAGGAACAGATTTCACTTGTTCGCTTGACCAATCAGATTATCTGTTCGGTAATGTTAGCCAATCAGAACGTACCTGACAGAGATCCTGTTTTTCTGCAATAACTCGCTTTGTTTTAATTTCTTTCACGTATTCCTCGTTGTGTGGAACGAGCGAGTAAAACTCCTGAGAATATTTCCCCAAATTTTCATCCGAAGCATCGCCTTTGTCGAGAATTTCTCGAATAGCTTGCAATACTCCTTCAGCTTTTGAGATATCTTCCAGTTTGAGCTGTTCAACCGAATCGCTGAGTAGAGAACTCAGCTCTCCGATCGCTTCAGACGAGATGCTGTGAACAAGCGCCTTCACAGGAGGAGACAGATTTTCTTTGTTCAATACTTCACTGGATATATTGTTCTGAAATGAGTCAAAATACAAACTTAAAATCAGTAAGCTCTGTTCTAAGCTGTTCTACCTAGAGGTCCAGTAATGATCATCTCTTATTGATCCAGTGTTACTACAGGAGGAAACCTAAACTAAACTAACTTTATTTATACTGGATAACTCTATCAGTTCTAAACTGTTCTTCCTAGAGGTCCAGTAAGGATCATCTCTTATTGATCCAGTGTTACTACAGGAGGAAACCTAAACTAAACTAACTTTATTTATACTGGATAGCTCTATCAGTTCTAAACTGTTCTTCCTAGAGGTCCAGTAAGGATCATCTTTTATTGATCCAGTGTTACTACAGGAGGAAACCTAAACTAAACTAACTTTATTTATACTGGATAGCTCTATCAGTTCAAAACCTTTTCATGACTTACAGAAATCATTTTATGCGATCCAACACCAGGAGGAAAGGCTGAGAATTGCCGACGGTATTCGGGCTGTTGTTGTGAACAGAAAAGGGAATACAATTGCTCAGCAGTATCGGAGTTGTCGGCAAAACGACATTCCTTTTTGTCAGGTTTCTCATTCACATCAATTCCCTGAAAGAAAGCAACGTTTTAAATGAAGAAAATAAAATTCAAACTACAAAATTACCGCGAAAGCTTACACTACAAGAACTTAAATGTAACCTACTGGGGCTGGTTGTATCAAGCCCGTTTAGCTTAAACGGTGGATAAGTCAAAATTAAATAACACTTTTACACTGAACTCTCTTGAATGAGTCAACTTGAATTCTATGCACTGAATATGTAGTTGTAAACAGTATCTTTGTATTAAGGTTAAAAACATTTAGTTCGCTTGTTAAATAATTCGATAAACTTGCTTTTTATTTTGAACTTGTCCACCGTGTAAGTTAAACGGGCTTGATACAACCGGCCCCTGTACACTGAGAGATAATGCTAAGCCAAGAAGAAGCTGTTTTAAACGGTACAATCTAACAAGTTCTCCGCTTGTCAAACCTTTTGAAGGATTCCAGAATGAGAGAATATACGATGACTTGGATGTGATTTTTCGATGTCAATCTCACCTTCCTTGGCAGTACTGATATGCAGTTCAATAGCGACAAAACGAAACAAACCATTTTTGTCAGATTTCTAGAAAATATTTAAGTATTCCTTGTTAGTTTACGGGTCAGGTAATCCGTTTTCAATCTTCATCAAAATGCGTGTCCATGCAGTAGTCACGTATAGCTTAGCCTAGAGCTAGCCTTTCAAGCGAAGAAACTTTCTATAACCGGTTATTTAAACGATATTGGAGCAAGTTAGCCGTTAGTTAGTTTTGAGATTTGTGTGGCGTTACCTTGTGGGCAAAATTTAAGAGGAAGTTACCTTAAACCACGAATGTTTAACGATTTCAAAATCATCAGATGGAAAGAAAGGAATAGACTCGTTATCTTGATTAAACTGATAAACCCTACGGTAGAAAAGTACATTTGAAACGTCAAACTATTACAGAAGGAAAATATAGGGGAAATTATATGCATTCTACGAATACGGCAGGGGCCCGGCGGTTGTATCAAGCCCGTTTAGCTAAACGGTGGATACGTTCAAAATAGAAAGCAAGTCTGCCGTTTTATTCAACAAGCAACTAAATGTTTTCAACCTTTAATACAAAGATAGTGTTTACAATACATATTCAGTGCATAATATTCAAGTTGACTCATTCAAGAGAGATGTAAGAGTGTTATTTAATTTTGACTTATCCACCGTTTAAGCTAAACGGGCTTGATACAACCGGCCGCAGGTATACACAGTTTTTGAACGCGAACTTTTTCAAAACAAAACAAATTTCAGTTGTAAATTTCTTCGCGTAATAAATTTGGCGCCAACGGATAAACCCAGTGCGCTGATTGGTCAAAAATTGGCGGGCAATTACTAAACGAGCCGCGCTGATTGGTCGAATTTAGTCCCCCGTGATGCCTGACGACAGCAAGAAAGAAGAACACTTCGCAAACTCGAAATTTCCAGCGATTTTCAATCATTTCAGCGTTTTCAAAAGCTTTTTGGGAGAGATTTTGAGCTTTTGCAGGTAAATTATCGAGAAAAAAAGAAAACTGTGGGTTACGAAAGGGGTATGGGACAACGCGAAGAGCGGTCTAGTCTCTAGACAGCAATAAATACGCCGAAAATTGTGCAATCGCCTGGAAAAACGAAGAAAATCGCAAAGCTGAAAATTAAAATGCAGGTAAAAAGGTGTAAATGTGAGAAAATGTTAGGTTAATTTCCTTGATCTAATCATACGAAGATGTTGTTTCCTTAGTTTTCATAAGATTTCAGTACATTCTTCGCATTTGAAAGTATTAAAGTTGTAAAAATGATGGAAAATCCGTTGTCATATTTGTCATTTATAGAGCAAAATGTCTATTGGTTTTGTGAAAAAAAGCATAACCATGTTCATAGACCTTTAGAAGGGCTAAATACTTTTGAATGGAAGCAGGCTGATGATTTTATTGACTGGATTCACCTTAAATTCAGGGGGGGATGCTTCTGAAAGAGGGGGTGCAACTGTCCCCCAACCCACTTCACATATCTATGCCCATGTTAAAATAATTCAATGATTCATCATTACCTTGTAGCTCTAAGATTTGCCAATGTCAGGGGCTTTTGTGTCTTTTGTTTCGAGACATTCGGTGTCTTGGAAGCTGCTGGTAAAACAGAAATATAACCAAAAATTAGGTTTAAATTACAAAATTATACTTAATTGTGGTGGTGAGGAATGCCAAAGAATATTTTTGTTTAATACATAACAAATATAATCTAATTTAGTATCAATATCTTTTTTAAATAATGCTCAAAATGCCACTAACTTTGCAATTGCTAGATTAATGTATGGACACAATCAACTTATTTCTCAATTAATCAGCTAATTAGCAACCAATTCACTTTGTTATGGTATTTAACTACAAATTAGTAATCCAAATGTCAGCATCTACGAAATCTAGTTAACTTGATAGTTTCCTAATTATTTAGTTAGTGTAATTGATAATCCTGGTTATGAATCGAATTCTACAGACATTCTGACTAAAACTAATATTAAATTAAAAATTAATAAATTCATTAGTATGCTTATTATTAGCCTGATAAAATTACTGGATGCTGATTGGTCAAGAAGAGTACAGTTATTTCGTTAATTGTACATGCATTGGTGTACCTAGAACTATAATTGGGGGGGGGGTGTATTCATATACTTGTGATATGCTGTCCAGATTCATTTCTTTTCTATTAACATGAATATATGAACATTGGCCCCCAAATTATCAATGCTGGCTAGGCCTCGGTGGACATGTACAGTATACACACGGTACAATTAACGATTTTGACAAAATAAACAAAATGGCTGAATGTTATTGCATGCACACTAAACAGCCCTGGAGGAAATAAAAATGCTTAAAGTACCATTCAGTCATACAATTATAATCCCAAATTCCATTCACCATCACATGACCATAGCTATATTAATCTGTACATGCTAACTCATTTCTAGAAGAGAACCATAATATATAAAAGTTCTACCTTTGATGATACCAGAGGAAAACTGGTTGGCCAAGGACTTGCCAATCGTGAGATATTCATCGCTTTCCAACAACTTCTGCTGTTCCGCGCAGTCGTCAATAAATGACAATGACACAATCGGTATACCAAGTTTCAGAGCTGCCCTGCCCTTGTATGTGTCGTCTACCTCTTTGTTTTCTGAGACGAAGTACTTGGTCTGAAATAATATACCATATAAATATATATATATGATTGTCCAGTTGTAGGACCCTGGAAGTTAAAACTAGTACAATTTTATGTTAAAATTAGCCAGTAGCTTTAAACTTGGAAATTAAAACTAGTACAATTTTACACTAGCCAGTAGATCAAAACTTGGAAGTTAGAACTAGAACAATTTGATGTTAGCCAGTAGATTTAAACTGGCTACAACACAACAGAATTGTATAAAAACAACTGATAAACCTTTCTGTACTATACTAAAGGGGTAAAGGCTGTATTAAGGCGACTACCAAACTTTAAACTTCCTTGTGTAAACATGATAGGTCCTTTAAATTTAGCACATTGATTATTGCGAGCCTTTGTACTCATTTAAATGCACTCAATGTACTTGGAAATGTACTCATTTACCATAAAGGGAGAAGATTTTCATAATTGAAAATTGAAAATTTGCATTGCTTGCAGAGAAATGGGAATATTTCATAGCCCGGACACATGTTTAACTATTTAGCAAACCTTGTTATTCAGTATGTACGAAATTGTTCCTCCATGGTCAACGATATTTCGACGGATTTCTTGCTTTCGTTTGTAAGCAAAGTGCTTGGAAGTAAAATCCACCGTGAACTGGCAATCCTTGAAGAATAAAACCATGCTTAATCGATGAAAAAACCCTCAGCGTTTTGCAAGAAATGCTGCAAATGTTGTTGTTACATTTACATTTCAAAACATTGCTAAATATTAAAATTATGACGCAATTTGACAATTGACTCCGTCTTCTTCCTGTTCCTGTTTGGGGAAGAACCGGCGGCCACTACAAACGTCCGGGTATATTTTGAAATTTTTGAGAAAATTTGATAGAAAATTCATATTAGGCACGGGAAACTATTTCCTATTTCATTATATGAAAACGGTTCTAAAATCTAAGATATTGATACCTTATAACAAGAAAATTCGATCGTAATAATGTGTCTAGAAACTGTCAAATTGCTATAGTCCAGGCCAGAATCAGAAAATCGATTAAAGACCAACAAACACTGTATAAATATTGTATAGTGTTATTTCCCACCACCAAAAGGTACATCTAGCCCTTTTACCGTATCTACAAACTTTAGTTGCATAAACTAGTAATTTTTCAATATATTTTTACGTTTTCAAGCAATGGTTTATACTATGTAATGAACTATGTACTCTAGTCCATTGTCCTTGTGCCCTTTATGTTTCTTGCGGTTTAAAACAATACCTGAGTGAAGTAATCTTAAAATTCGTTTTTGCTTAAAGAAAAGGAATAAACTTCAAAATGAAATGTTGTAGATCCTAATCTCATCTCTTTTAAGCAATCAATTCCCTTATACAAATATATACTACTTTACAGTCGGTAAGATAGAAATATATTTAGTGTTGTATTATGTAGCAGTGACCGAATGATTACGTCCTTTTTTTGAATGTGGTCGTTTAGTTTGACCCATCTTTTACTGTAAGACCTCTTCTGATTTTTCCCCAGCCAATTAATCTAAAAGTGAAGAAACAGGTAACGTAAATAAACTGATAAATAAGCAAGTAAACAAAAACAAGTTATGGAAAACAAATAAACAAACAAACAGAGGAATACAAGAACAAATATTCTTCATTCAAACCTCCAATGTTTTTCCACTCTTCGACTTAATGCAATCTTTTCACCAATTTCCGTACAGACAGGTTGTGTCAACACGATCTTTGCCAAATCAACTTTGACTGCGAGAACTCGACCACCAGTTGATAGTGAACCAATGTTGACCATCAGAACTTCGTTTTTCGCTAGTTTTTGAACCTGGATAAAGATTATGGAGGAATCAATATTCATCCAATGTCACCACAGGAGGAAATCTGATCAATCCAGAATAGCTTTACCAGTTCTAAACTGTTCTTCCTAGAGGTCCAGTAAGGATCATCTCTTATTGATCCAGAGTTACTACAGGAGAAAACCTAAACTAAACTAACTTTATTTATACTGGATAGTTCTATCAGTTCTAAACTGTTCTTCCTAGAGGTCTGTTACATGATACATAATATCATGTAATTAGATCGTATAATAATATAGAGTCATATACTTAGCTAGTATAAATATATATACCTTTTAGTTAGTTAACCTTATTCTCGCAAGACTTACATGCATGAGTAAGCAAAATAGGTATAAGCATGAGCAGGCAATAGCTATGTCCACGCCTAACCGCAAGTGCGTAGCTTGGTGTCAACCACAAAGCCATGGTAGCATGCGCTACAACGCTCTGAATTGCGTAGGGGAAATTACTTGTTGTTTTGCAGTTTCTCTTAGCAAGCGTATATAAGTCGATCCGAGCGCAAATAGATATAAGCAAGCGATTACAGCCATTACAAGATGCCATAACTGACGATGCTAATTTAAGCTGACGGCTGACCAAATGAACATTATAACATAGATGGATGTATGATGGATTTTCAACTATGGAGCTATTCACTGTTACTCTTACCAGATAAGTTAATGTTAGGAAATAGGATATTGTTAATGTGCTTTGTAAAGTTTAAGTTGTTTATTGCTCACTATAATTCACTAAATGTTTTAAAATGCTCAACACTGTTCTCATTTTTTGTTCGTTCTCACCGGCGAACGTAACAGGTCTAGTAAGGATTATCTCTTATTGATCCAGTGTTACTACAGGAGGAAACCTAAACTAAACTAACTTTATTTATACTGGATAGTTCTATCAGTTCTAAACTGTTCTTCCTAGAGGTCCAGTAAGGATCATCTCTTATTGATCCAGTGTTACTACAGGAGGAAACCTAAACTAAACTAACTTTATTTATACTGGATAGCTCTATCAGTTCTAAACTGTTCTTCCTAGAGGTCCAGTAAGGATCATCTCTTATTGATCCAGTGTTACTACAGGAGGAAACCTGAACTAAACTAACTTTATTTATGCTGGATAGCTCTATCAGTTCTAAACTGTTCTTCCTAGAGGTCTAGTAAGGATCATCTCTTATTGATCCAGTGTTACTACAGGAGGAACCTAAACTATTTTATCCAGAAACATTTAACATCACATATTGTATGTTTACTCTACCTTGGCAGCTTTTTTGTCACCCTCTGTTCGAACACCCAGCAACCTCCTCAACAAGAAATAACTGATTTCCAGTTCTGTGTAGATTTCTGGCAACGCATCAGCTGCTCCCAAAACCTTACCAAAGAAAATAAAATATTTTGTCAAAAGGAATTGAAAGCTGTAAATAATGAAACCTAAATGAAATTCTGTACTTACATGGCCAACCATTCTGTCAGCTCTGCAGAGAGTTGGGTCAATTTTCGTTCCAACACCTGGTTTATAATGAAGATAAATGATTATGAAATGCTGCTTTTTACATGTTTTAATGCAATGGAAATTTGATCAGATATCCCCCAATGCTCGAGTTGTCTGACACAAAAGGTCTACATGTGTCTTGGGTAAAGTTTGACAGATCTTTCTGCAAAGAGTTGGGTCAATTTTCGTTCCAACAACTAGCTTAAAATGAAGATAAATGGAATATGAAATGCAGTTTTTCACATGGTTTAAATGGAATGAAAAGTTTGATGAAATATCCCTGATACAAAAGACATGTTTCTTGGGTAAAGTTTGATGGATATTCTTACCAATTAGTCCACCAGGTACGGCGTACTGAAGATCATTTTGTTCGGCGAACAACGAAACAATCACAGAACAGATTGGTTCCCAACGCAGTTTTCCTTTCTCATCTTTGGAAACAATGCCTGGACGTACTTCAATCTCTTGACCAACCTAAAATGTTGAATTAGAAATGAATGAAAAGTATAGACCTGCTTCAAATCAGACCTATTGCATCCTTTAAAGTTCTGGTAAGAGTAATAATTTAGTAGAGCTTTGTAGGTGGAGCTATCAATTGTACGCATTTCCACAACAATGTAAACTTGGAGTAGCTGGGAAGATCTCAAAGAAGCTGGTTAATTCGACTTGTTTGTTATGGAATGGGGACAGCAAAAAGTGATCAACCATACCTTTAAGACACCTTGGAGAATGCTTCCTCCAGCAACACCTCCTTTAAGGTCTTGTACTTCGCATCCAGGCTTATTCACGTCAAAAGAACGGATCACTGAAATCAAGCAAGTATTTCAAGGTTTAAATTGTGAATAATTCTTCAACCAAAGCAAGATACAGTTTCATTACACCATTCATTCAACTGCAAATGATTCTACAGTATTTGGTTATAGTCATGTTGGTCAGTCATCTCACCAATGAGCCTTGGTTGTGATGTGAAGTCTCGTCTTGGGATGGGTATTTTCTTGCAAATATATTCACAGATGACTTCAATGTTGTATTTCAACTGCGCCGAGATTGGAACAACTGGAGCTCCTTCAGCAACTGTACCTTTGGTAAGGATAACACACAAAATTATATTTTGTTTCAAACTGTTCTTCTAGAGGTTTAGTGAGGATAATCTCTTATTGATCCAGTGTTACTACAGGAGAAAACCTAAACTAAACTAACTTTATTTATACTGGATAACTCTATCAGTTCTAAACTGTTCTTCCTAGAGGTCCAGTAAGGATCATCTCTTATTGATCCAGTGTTACTGCAGGAGGAAACCTAAACAAAACTAACTTTATTTATAAATGTAGGACAAAGCAAATACCTTCAACAAATTTCAGAATTTCTTTATACTGGTCCTTTGCTTGACTTTCTCGTACAAGATCAATTTTGTTTTGCAAGATGATAATATGTTCAAGTTTCATGATCTCGATTGCTGCCAAATGTTCTGATGTCTGAGGTTGGGGGCACGATTCATTGCCAGCTGGAATAAAGATTGAAGAATACAGTTATGTACATGCCATAAAACTGTCACTTGTCAACTCTCATGCAACTCTTGTTCTGGTTTGATCAAGCAATGATAGTTGATGAAACTCTCATGTAAACTCTCACTTGTCAACTCTCATGCAACTCTTGTTCTCGTTTGATCAAGCAATGATAGTTGATGAAACTCTCATGTAAACTCTCGCTTGTCAACTCTCATGCAACTCTTGTTCTCGTTTGATCAAGCAATGATAGTTGATGAAACTCCCATGTAAACTCTCGCTTGTCAACTCTCATGCAAGTCTTGTTCTTATTTGATCAAGCAATGATAGTTGATGAAACTCTCATATAAACTCTCGCTTGTCAACTCTCATGCAACTCTTGTTCTCGTTTGATCAAGCAATGATACTTGATGAAACTCTCATGTAAACTCTCGCTTGTCAACTCTCATGCAACTCTTGTTCTCGTTTGATCAAGCAATGATAGTTGATGAAACTCCCATGTAAACTCTCGCTTGTCAACTCTCATGCAACTCTTGTTCTCGTTTGATCAAGCAATGATAGTTGATGAAACTCTCATGTAAACTCTCGCTTGTCAACTCTCATACAACTCTTGTTCTCGTTTGATCAAGCAATGATAGTTGATGAAACTCCCATGTAAACTCTCGCTTGTCAACTCTCATGCAACTCTTGTTCTCGTTTGATCAAGCAATGATAGTTGATGAAACTCCCATGTAAACTCTCGCTTGTCAACTCTCATGCAACTCTTGTTCTCGTTTGATCAAGCAATGATAGTTGATGAAACTCCCATGTAAACTCTCGCTTGTCAACTCTCATGCAACTCTTGTTCTCGTTTGATCAAGCAATGATAGTTGATGAAACTCTCATGTAAACTCTCACTTGTCAACTCTCATGCAACTCTTGTTCTCGTTTGATCAAGCAATGATAGTTGATGAAACTCCCATGTAAACTCTCGCTTGTCAACTCTCATGCAACTCTTGTTCTCGTTTGATCAAGCAATGATAGTTGATGAAACTCTCATGTAAACTCTCACTTGTCAACTCTCATGCAACTCTTGTTCTCGTTTGATCAAGCAATGATAGTTGATGAAACTCCCATGTAAACTCTCGCTTGTCAACTCTCATGCAACTCTTGTTCTCGTTTGATCAAGCAATGATAGTTGATGAAACTCTCATGTAAACTCTCGCTTGTCAACTCTCATGCAACTCTTGTTCTCGTTTGATCAAGCAATAATAGTTGATGAAACTCTCATGTAAACTCTCACTTATCAACTCTCATGCAACTCTTGTTCTCGTTTGATCAAGCAATGATAGTTGATGAAACATTTAACCCTCCCATTTTAACACATTGGAATGGAAATCTCACCAATTAGCAACATTGCGGCGTCCATAACGGCTGCTCCGTTCAACATGGTTGCCATAAGAATGTCGTGACCTGGGCAATCCACGAAAGAAACATGTCTACAAAATAAACAATCATTTCTCTATGAATAGATTTTAGAAAGTGTTCTATCAAGATTTACAACGCACAAAAATTCATGGTTTGTAAGAGTTTATGTACACAAACCTCACTAACTGCGATTTACCCTGGCAACCTGGTCTTTCACATGGTATGATGTCTTCGCGAGCGCTTCCTGCTGATCGATAACAGCTGGGCCTCTGACAACTGGGGTTGCTGCATTTGTAGATCTAAGAAATATTTTTCTTGAAATATGGGGTAGATACTGTAGGCATTCTATTTTCTGCAATGAACTACATATATTCTTTGAAATATGCTACAGCAATGGGTAAGGTAAGGAAAATTATCCAGAGTTTCTGATTTCTTTTGTCTGTCAGTGAAGAAATATTAAAATTGTATGGCTAATTCCAAGGCTAATTGTCGGTGGAGTAAATAAACTTTTGGGTAAAAATAAATAAGAAATGTTCGGAATAGAATTATCTTGTGTTAATCAAGGGCAAATCTAAACAAAAATCAGTCTAGTTGAGAGGCCTTGGGTTTGTTGCAAATGCACTAGACTTAAATATTAAGCTTAGTGGCTCTTGTTTTAGTTGATAGGTTCTTCTAATATTTTAGATCCATACATTCAAGACGAAATGTCAAGTCTATAACTATCAATATATGTAGTGATCATTGTACAGTACGTGATTAATTAAAGGTCTGTTCACACAATACAAATTTATCAGATCCAATTCACTTCTGATGGATTTTTTATAATCTGTTGACTTGCAAAGTATACGGGCAGCAAATCAACTGAAGCCAATGCAGACTGTTTTATCAATAACAAACTATATTCCATACATCAGAAGTGAGTTGGACCCGACAAAGTTGTACAGTCTGAACAGGCCTTAATTTGTTTAAGTATTTATATAACCATAGTACCTTTGCATTAGCATAGCCAAGCTTGATTGTGATATTTCGTTCAAGTTCGTTTTTAAATCGGACAGTCTGGAAAATAAACAAGCATATAGCAGGTTGTCGCAAAATTTGATGACAACATAAAATGCTGTTTATAATGTCTGAGATTTATATCTTTCAGAAGTCGCAGTTTTGACGGAAGATGAACTTTGCTACCAAGTTATTATGATAGCTCTCTATTCTAACTCAGGCAAAATGCCATGATAAAACTTGCTATCAAAGCTGTTTTCTACTTCAACCATATTGTAGCATAACGTAGCGTATTTCTTTGTTTCCGAAGTATTCGACCAGAACTAATGACTTTAAAACAATGAGATATCCGAGGTTTTGCTACAATACAGTTGAAGTGGAAGACAATGTAAAACAACGCAAGCTTTGCAATGTCTGAGATTTCTTTCGAACAATCTTATACACAATACCTGAACACCAGATAAAGCTTTTACAACCGTTGACTTTCCATGAGCCACGTGACCAATTGTGCCTAGAAATTAATGAAATTTACATTATTGAAATATATTATTTCCTGCAATTGCATAAGCCTTCAGAGGCAAGATTACATCTTAAACCTGTTCATTGCAAATCCATGAAGACGTACATGGTGTAGAGAGTTGAAACTAAGTAATCATATTTTAACTTTGTCATCATTGGTAGAGCAATACTAACCAATATTTATAGTTGCTTGACGGCTGATTACTTCTGGTGTTAGAGGATTTAGTTCCTCGATTTTCTATAAAATTTAAAAGACATAACCTTTTCAGCTCAGGCATTAGCTTGCAATGCACCCAGATGTGGCCTACTTTAGTATTTTACTCTGTCTAATGTCAGATGATTTTACTCATCAGTGGAAGAGTACTGTCAGTTAATAAGTTAACAAAACTATCTGTCAGTGTCTCTTGTTAACCCATTAGCTTGCAATGCACCCAGCAACTGATCTGGTTAACTTGCACACGAATCTTTGCACAAATATTTTACCAAAAACAGCCTGAGATTGCCTTAACTTCTATTTAAATATCTTACAAATAGTTTAGTTTACAAAGAAGAATCAACCATTCCACAATAATAAGAATTCAAAGCATTATTAGATCTCGAAATAAGACTCATTCCTGAGTCAGATCATGCCGTAGAAACCACATAAAAAGCGATAATTTTTGCAGTATAAACTCACTTCATATCTACAAAGGTAAAACTATACATAGGGACCAAGATCTTTGTAGGACGGGGAAAGGATTGGAATAAAATGAATATGCTTACCAATTTTGATAAATCCTGCTTTGATAAGCGAGGCTGGCCTACCTCGGTGCTCATGATTGCATCAACAAGGTTTTGTTGATGAAATAAAAATGAAATTTTTCTTGCGTAAAAAAGCAAAAAATGAGCGAAATTCTGCTTCGAGCTGATGCAATACACGAGTGACGGTCAGTGACCATTGATCTCTGTAACTGGAGTGATCACGAGAGATGCACTGAGGGATAAACAACACTGGAGTGATAAAAGAGCACCCACTGAGAGACAAGTGTAACTGGAGTGATCACAGAAGATACACTGAGAGATAAGTATAACTGGAGTGATCACAGAAGACGCACTGAGAGATAAACATACTGGAGTGATAACAAAAGACGCCCTGAGAGATAAGCACAACTGGAGTGACTACAGAAGACGCACTGAGAGATAAGTATAACTGGAGTGACTACAGCCAGACGCACTGAGAGATAATTATAACTGGAGTGATAAAGAAGACACACTGAGAGATAAAGCATTACTGGAGTGATCAAGTGTAAGCATTACTGAAAAGATACATTACCCACATCTTAACGGCTATCTAAGGGGAAGATGCACTACGGCCCCCAGACCATGATGTATGTGCACCTAACCGTTACGTCTCAGTGAGAAACAGAGTATGCATTGCCACAAGCCTAGCGCGTCATAGACGAATCAGCTACAATGACAAGCCTTGAGAGCGAAGATAAATTTAACGTATTTAAGCTTTCCATTGTGACTCACCAAAAAACTTTCATTTTTCCACACGGAATAGTTTTAATGTACACTAATAAGTATATCTACATAAAATCATGGTGCAACTAATTAAAGAGATCTATACATTTACTGAGGACGGTGATCTTCAATACAAGATGTTGAACTTAAAAGTGTACATATAAGTGCAAAAATAATCAAATTTTATCTTACAACAAACTAATATATTTCATCGCAAGGTTAAAATCAAAAGTGTGCAGTCTGTGAGGTATATTTTTTCAGTCAATAAAACTATACGAAATTATGTCACGGTTAGGCTAGAATAAACACGGCTAATATCAAGTCTATAATGAATTAAGACGAGAAGTTGAATATTTTGAAGACGCATTCTTATGGTTAAGCAATCAGCACTTCTTTGTCGTCAAAGGCCAGTTTTTCAGGCAACGGCTCAGCTTCGTCATCCTCCATTTCAAATTCAGCCTTAAAATCGTTGCCCTTGCTGATTTCATAAGCTTTCTTGCTCTTGCGACAGCAACACATAGCACAGCACATCATGGATGCCAAGACGACAAGGACCAAGCCGACAAGAATTGCAACTCGCGCGCCAAATGGAAGCTTATGGAAACTGGAACAAAGGCTTTTGCCGTGGTGATGTTTCTAGATAATGTAGATATTTATTACATATTATATTTATTACATATTATATTTATTACATATTAAATTTATTACATATTATATTTAAGGGTAGATATTTACTACAACCTGAGGCGGTTCGAGGTTTAAATAACAAAGAGGAATTTCATTTTAAACTAATCGGTGTATTTGGTGACATTTTTGAGGGAAAGCCAATCAGAATGCGTACATTTTAATTACTTCATGTAAAATGGTACATATTGTACTTTTTATCAAAATTTATGCATTCTGATTGGCTTACTGAAAATGTAAACAAACTTGCTGATTGGCTAAAACGAAATTCTAAATAAATCGATTGAAATCGTCTGAAAAACCACGAAAAAAATCGATTTTTTAAAGTTTTTTTTTAAGTCCTGGCAAAATATTGCTGTAAGAATAAACTTCACGCATACGAATTCAAAAGTTTACTCTAGAAAGCAATCGTATTTTGGTATAATACTAATCCTAATATTCACAAAAAGCATTTTCTTAAAAATAAACCGTACAAATTCTCCGCTATTAAACATGAGCCCGGTTACCGAGATTTAAAGAAGCGTTAAATTGACTTTGAGTTTTTGAAATGAGTAAATAACATGATCCTGGTAGTCGTGAAGTCATTCTAACAATAGCATGCAATGTTTCTGTTTCAAAAAGACTTTTCTCAATACTTAAAATTCCGTTTTACGCTTCGTTAAATCTCCGTAACCTGGCTCATGCGAAGAACGTTTAAAATAAGAATTTGTTTACTTTCTCAGGCTTAGGGCGTGTTTATATGATCCCGTCTAGCCGGGACGGGATGTTTTCATCCCGCTTAGCCGGGAAACTCGCCTACGCGGGATGGCGTGTTTATATGGAGTTCATTTTGTGGTGCAGGTTCCTTCGACGGCATGTTTTATTGTAGAAAACGAGTATGCCAATATATACACATGCTCCTAATGTATGTTAATCGCGAATCATCTCGGCCAAGCGGGATGGAGTGTTTATATGGCAATTTCTCGTCCTGTCTAAGCGGGATCCCGGCAAGAAGTGCCGAAGAAAAGTGGTCATATAAACACTAATTAGCGTTTGTACTACAAGCGGGATCTCGGAAACTGTCCCGTCCCGGCTAGACGGGATCATATAAACAGGCCCTAAGTTGAGCTACCGTTGAATCAAGGACATATGCTCCACTTTGCTAAAAAGCATCTTCGATAGTTACTAATACTACGCTATTTTGTTTAAATGTGACTGAGTTTTGAACTTTACGACAGTGGTATGAATTTTATCCACACATTTTATACAAAACTTTTGAAAGCTTACATGATGATGACCATATCCTTTCTCGTCTGGCAGAGATGGATCCAAAAATCTTTTCGGCTTTTTGTCATCTAGAAGTTTCAAATAGTTCGGATATTGTTACCAAATTTAGCTCCATCAGTTCTAAACTGTTCTTCCTAGAGGTCCAGTAAGGATCATCTCTTATTGATCCAGTGTTACTACAGGAGGAAACCTAAACTAAACTAACTTTATTTATACTGGATAGCTCTATCAGTTCTAAACTGTTCTTTCTAGAGATCCAGTAAGGATCATCTCTTATTGACCCAGTGTTGCTACAGGAGGAAACCTAAACTAAACTAACTTTATTTATACTGGATAGCTCTATCAGTTCTAAACTGTTCTTCCTAGAGGTCCAGGAGGGATCATCTCTTATTGATCCAGTGTTACTACAGGAGGAAACCTAAACTAAACTAACTTTATTTATACTGGATAGCTCTATCAGTTCTAAACTGTTCTTCCTAGAGGTCCAGTAAGGATCATCTCTTATTGATCCAGTGTTACTACAGGAGGAAACCTAAACTAAACTAACTTTATTTATACTGGATAACTCTATCAGTTCTGAACTGTTCCTCCTAGAGGTCCAGTAAGGATCATCTCTTATTGATCCAGTGTTACTACAGGAGGAAACCTAAACTATATTTATATTGGATGAACAAGATACAATAACATACTTTTTCCACAGTATCTGGACAACTCAGCTTTTTTAATGTTTGATTCCTCGAACTTAACCGCAGCAATTGTTCGTCTGAATTCTTTGCCATTCACATCCATATGAATTGTCAGCACCTGAGTAGATTAGATTGATTTTTAAAGCTATTAAAGTGTTTAATATCCTTATGCATTCAACAGGACTCTTGATTCTTAAGCCCTGGTCAAACGAGAATGATAGTTGATGAGAGTTGAGAAGCGAGAGTTTGCACGAGAGTTTTCCAAACTCTCGATGCGCCGGTCAAACGAGAATGAGAGTTGAGAACGAGAGTTGATTACGGCGCGCATTAATTTCGTCCTTACTCCACTTCGTTTTGCTATTTTTTTGTTTCTGCCCGTTGTTTTCAGAAGATTTCTTTTTTTTTTTCAAAAAAATTGCAAACCGCTAGCTGTTTTGCAACTCTCATCAACTCTCATGACCGATCAAACGCGCCCAAACTCTCATCAACTCTCATCAAAATTTGAACCAGTTCAAAGTCAATGAGAGTTGATGAGAGTGCACGAGAGTGTATGAGAGTTCGCGGTCAAACGCAAGCGAGAGTTGCAACTCTCATCAACTCTCATTCTCGTTTGACCAGGGCTTAAAGGTTTCATCCATAAAAATTACCTGAACATCGACTTGTTCAACTCGCTTTTCATTGATGAATTGCACTTGTTCTTCGATCAAATATTGATGTCCCGATTCCAGCTCCTTTCTCATCACCATTACGTGAATTATGACAGGAAGAATGCGAACATCTTTGGCAGAGTAAACTGTGAAATGAATACACAACAATTAGCCCAGAACTTATCCAAATCTTCTCTGTCAAAAGAATTTAGGCTGTATGCACATGAAGGTAAATCAGTTATGATTTTTGGCACTTCACTCGAGGTAGGTAAATTCTAATGGTTCTTAGGGTGTTAATTTCGAGTGGAATTATACACACTTCAAATTCAAGCCAGGAACAGTTGATGGAAAATGAGTCAACTATCGGTCCTCCGGCAGAAATCGAACCTATGCTTTTGCGATGCCGGTGCAATGCTCTTGCCACTGAGCTACAGAGGTAGCTGACAAGAGCAAGCGTGGTTAGTGTGCACATGATGGTAATCATCTGTGTGCACATGAGCGTCGTTTTCGAACATTCTCAAAATCGTTTTCATCCAGATTATTGCTTTGACACTTTGTCAACATGATCCAAGGGAAAATATGCTGAATATGTTAAATTAGCTTCAAATTGACTGTGTTTGAAACAGTTTGAAATGAAAACGAAAATGTAAATGCGTGCACATGCATAGCCTTAGAATGAAAAAGCTGAACCTGACTGCACCATTAGTGGAAGGTGTAAAGTCTGATTCAAAAGCTATGCTGGAAACTTAGTTTCAAAATATCACTGCTGTAGAAAACATTCAAAGTGAAGAATATATTTATAATAGCAAATAAATTTAGGTTGTTCGTACCAATCTCAGCAGTGAGGTCGTACTTCGTAAGAACATCTAGTTCTGTGAGTTTCCCATTAATTCTGACACTGTCTTCCTGGATTGTAATGTTCAATTTCACCTGAGAATTAATACAACAGCATTGTGAGCAATAAATTATTTATTAAATGTTAAAGTAGGTCACATCTGGGTGCATTGCAAGCTAATGGGTTAACAAGAGACACTGACAGATAGTTTTGTTAACTTATTAACTGACAGTACTCTTCCACTGATGAGTAAAATCATCTGGCATTAGACAGAGTAAAATACTAAAGTAGATCACATCTGGGTGCATTGCAAGCTAATGGTTATCACAGATAGTTTTGTTTACTTGGTAATGACAATGATCAAGTGGTGAGTAAAATCATCTGGCTGATGGAACTTATAAAATAAATAAACGTTTATAAAAGTACATTTAGAGACGCCTACTATTGCAAAGTCATTGCTAAATTCAGCTGAGGCAATCTTAAAGACACAGCTAGCAACTTTGAGGAATTTTTCCCGTTAACAAGAGGCAAAATTGTGCTTTGTCATGTTTTTGTGGGGGAGGAATTTCATCAACAACACGCAATAATAGTTATGTAATAACTTGCTTTCTATAACGTTATATAAAAATATAGATTAAGAAAACTTCCGACCGCAAATTTCCCACTTAAAACGACTATCTGAAGACGTGCAGGTGTTTTCAAAAAGGGTATTAAAACAAGACTTGTACAATATGAATAATGTTCAGATATTGACACATGCTGGGAATATTTCGTCGCTTTTATTTTGCGATTTTATGAACAACGATCTTAGTTGATAAAACCAAGTTTCGTTTCGATTAAAAGCAGGAGATTTTGAAGCGATGTTTTGAAGCTTCGATCGCAGTTTTGTTCAGATCAATCGAAGCAATTTTTGCGTTTTAAAAGGAAAAAGATTAGAGAAAGTTTTGGCAGCTAAAGGCGCCATAGACAAGGACATGTCACAACTTATTTCCTTCTTTCCCAAATTGGATTCCCGGTTACAAAAGAAAACAAAACAAAGTACCAACGTTTCCTCGAAGAAAATACACTGCAATTCAACTGCCTTGGCTGCAGATTTTCGTTTTGATTCAAAACGAAACAATCTGAACTTTGTGTGAAAGCCGTGTCGCAGTTAAATTCAAAGTATTTTAAGCTCTTTCTATGCCGAATATAAACGCCGCATTTCTATGTTTACAAATACAAGACTCTATCATCCATTACTGGGCTACTTTTAACTAGTTTTCTCTTCGAATTCATGCACAAATACTTACAATAACTTCGGTTTCTCGTCTGCCGTTTGCGGAGTCTTCCTCCTCGATGATTTTCACAGAGATAGAGAGCTTCTCTTTTGAATGTTTTGTGCCAGATTTGAGGTCGTTTTCGCCGGCAAAAACTGCCTGGAATATCGCCAAAAACAAGACGAAATGGCCAAGCACTTCAAACATGGTTTATTTGCTCAAAAAACAGATATAAAAGCGATAATATTGAACAGGAGAAGCACAGCGCGAATGCGGATTGCAATATGTAAACAGCTTGGAAAAGCTGTATAATATTTACATATTAACTCGTTGCAAGGGTGATAACTATTGTTATTAATACTATCGGTTAATAATTAATGACCATATATAGAGCCAAGATTCAACGTATTATACATATGCGGATAATCCCTTAGATAATCCGGTAAAGTTAATCCGGTAGAATTAATCAGTAGCAGTAATCAGTGAGCTCACTGGCAGTAATATCCAGATTCAACGAATGTGATCCTAAACCCTAGAGAATTAGGTTTAAAATAGATTAAGGATTAGACTAACTCATTAAAGATTAGATTAGATTCGGTCAATGGTTAGAACTTAGAATGAAAGCTTGCATTGTAGAATATGGATATAGGATTATCTGATTTAATTTCGTTGAGATCCAGATAATCCTATGTCTATGTTAATAATATATACAATGCAAGCCTTATCTAGATATGGTAGCCCACCCCATAGGGAACACCAGCTACATGATCAGTGATGGTACCACTACACGTTAACGATACCCCCCGCCCTCCTCATAGCCCACAGACGTCACTCGAGTTTTTTAAATTTCAATGAAGTAATATTACCCTCCTATATTGACCGCCAACCCACGCCACAAGGCCAGAGGGCCCCGCCCCTCCCCCTATCGCGTGCGACCCCCTCTGGCAAGCAGTTCAAGTATGCCTAAAGTACTTGACCTTTGTACGTTGGAGCTCTCTTTATATCTCATTTCCATATTTCATTGAAATTTGAATAAATATTCAATACAAATAAAATGGCTCATCTTCGAAGACTCGCATCGCTTTCCACGAGAAGATCTTTGAGGAAATCCTTGTCAAGTTACTTGTATTCGTCTTCGACAAAACTTCAAAACAACGTCGCTTTATGTGGTACCACTTATCGTCATGTTAGTTCGAGTGGAGCAAAATTACAGCCGGACACGTAAGTCGATGAAAATGTATATTTAAATATGTATATATTTCACGTTTTAGTGTTTACTCGAAGTCATATGGCGATTGAGTGATTAATTAAAACGAATTCCCGTTTTTATGTAATTCTTCAATGTTCACTTGGCTATATTTTGCTAAAAAAAACGACACCAACAATAATTTTACTCATGGGAAGAGTTGTTAACCCATTAGCTTGCAATGCACCCAGATGTGACCTATTTAAGTATTTTACTCTGTCTAATGTCAGATGATTTTACTCATCAGTGGAAGAATACTGTCAGTTAATAAGTTAACAAAACTATCTGTCAGTGTCTCTTGTTAACCCATTAGCTTGCAATGCACCCAGATGTGACCTATTTAAGTATTTTACTCTGTCTAATGTCAGATGATTTTACTCATCAGTGGAAGAGTACTGTCAGTTAATAAGTTAACAAAACTATCTGTCAGTGTCTCTTGTTAACCCATTAGCTTGCAATGCACCCAGATGTGTTTTTTTAGTTTTCAAATAATTTAGGAGGATATTGCCTCCTTTTGACTGGCCAACCAGTGACTGGCACCGGATTTCACGGCTTCAAAGGTTTGTTTGTTTCTTCTCCAGAGCATCAATCACATTTCACGATCGAGATGGCGACAAGAAAACAGTTTCAGCCAAATATGGAGATTCACTTCTTGATGTTGCAAAGAATAATGATATTGATTTGGAAGGTAAGAATGACTACACTGCTCTCTTTTAGCCATGAGTTTATTAACACGTTTTGAATATCTTCTCTTCATCAAATTTCACATCGAGGTGCTTGTGAAGGAACTCTGAGCTGTTCAACTTGTCATCTTATATTTGATCCGGACGAATTTGCCAAGTTGGATCTACCTGAACCAGATGATGAAGAACTAGATATGCTTGATCTGGCCTATGGTTTGACACCAACGTAAGAGATGATCCTTACTGGACCTCTAGGAAGAACAGTTTAGAACTGATAGAACTATCCAGTATAAATAAAGTTAGTTTAGTTTAGGTTTCCTCCTGTAGTAACATTGGATCAATAAGAGATGATCCTTACTGGAACTCTAGGAAGAACAGTTAAGAACTGATAGAGTTATCCAGTATAAATAAAGTTAGTTTAGTTTAGGTTTCCTCCTGTAGTAACACTGGATCAATAAGAGAAGATCCTTACTGGACCTCTAGGAAGAACAGTTTAGAACTGATAGAGCTATCCAGTATAAATAAAGTTAGTTTAGTTTAGGTTTCCTCCTGTAGTAACACTGGATTTTTTCTCCAGATCAAGACTAGGATGTCAGGTTGACGTAACTGAAAAGTTTGATGGAATTACTGTAAAAGTACCTGAAGCAACGAGAGACGCAAGAGATTTGTAACCGCCTCTGGAAATGGAATTTACTGTGGATGTAACATTAAATATTCTAAACATGCTACAAACGTGTGAAACTTCTAGCAATAAATTTTATTATTTTAATAATTTATTGTACCTGAGGATGGCCGCGCTATTGACATAATTTTTCTGTCTTCCAAATACTACAGTATTTTGATAATAATAAATGTATTTTATTATTTCTGGTTTCTTCTGTGGCAATATCATTGAATGAAGAGTATTTAGAATATTGTGAATGTTTTATCAGTTGAGATTATGTACAAACATAAATATGTCTAATGTTTACTAAGTCATTTTCTGCAGTCCATTGCTCAAGTCAGACATAACCAATGCCTACATCAATACAATTTCCTGATAAATATGTACTCTCTCATATTTCCAACATTATAACAATTTTCTCAGTTAATAGTTAACAAAACTATCTGTCAGTGTCTCTTGTTAACCCATTAGCTTGCAATGCACCCAGATGTGACATACTTTAGTATTTTACTCGGTCTAATGTCAGATGATTTTACTCATCAGTGGAAGAGTATTGTCAGTTAATAAGTTAACAAAACTATCTGTCAGTGTCTCTTGTTAACCCATTAGCTTGCAATGCACCCAGATGTGGCCTACTTTAGTATTCTACTCTGTCTAATGTCAGATGATTTTACTCTTCAGTGAAAGAGTACTGTCAGTTAATGAGTTAACAAAACTATCTGTCAGTGTCTCTTGTTAACCCATTAGCTTGCAATGCATCTGAATGTAATCTATTAAGACATTAAGTTATGTTTCTTCATTTTTTCACTGTCTATTATTGACCAATCTCATGATGAAGCACCCCACAGTTCCTGTCAGCTCTCATTCGTCTGATCATCGCCTGGTGCCTTCTTCTCATTGTGTGTTCCTAAAATGTCCTTTTCAACCTCTTCTAGACTGATATTTTTATCATTCAAGGCCTTCTACAAAACAAACAATAGGAAATCTATCAAAATTATATCTTTTGTTAACTCATTAGCTTGCAATGCACCCAGATATGACCTATTTTAGTATTTTACTCTGTCTAATGCCAGATGATTTTACTCATCAGTGGAAGAGTACTGTCAGTTAATAAGTTAACAAAACTATCTGTCAGTGTCTCTTGTTAACCCATTAGCTTGCAATGCACCCAGATGTGACCTACTTTAGTATTTTACTCTGTCTAATGTGAGATGATTTTACTCATCAGTGAAAGAGTACTGTCAGTTAATAAGTTAACAAAACATCTGTCAGTGTCTTTTGTTAACCCATTAGCTTGCAATGCACCCAGATGTGACCTACTTTAGTATTTTACTCTGTCTAATGCCAGATGATTTTACTCATCAGTGGAAGAGTACTGTCAGTTAATAAGTTAACAAAACATCTGTCAGTGTCTTTTGTTAACCCATTAGCTTGCAATGCACCCAGATGTGACCTACTTTAGTATTTTACTCTGTCTAATGCCAGATGATTTTACTCATCAGTGGAAGAGTACTGTCAGTTAATAAGTTAACAAAACATCTGTCAGTGTCTTTTGTTAACCCATTAGCTTGCAATGCACCCAGATGTGACCTACTTTAGTGTTTTATAAATCTTTGTGTTAATCTGAGCTTACCAAGACACAGGCCCGATACGACTTGAACAATTTTTCACATGGTTCTGATTTAGTGTCGCCACGAAGGAAGTTTTCTGTGTACCAAGTATTGAAACATATATCATATTTTTTCTTTAGGTCATTGCATTCTTCAGAAATACTGTTCATGATTTCTTTAATACAATGTTTCAGTTTTCACCACCCCTCTAATGATTAAAATTGGAACAAATTTTATGTTTGAGTTTGACAGTACAGCATATATAAAGCTCAGTTGAAAAATCTGGCAATAATAATCCATGCTCAGCAAATCCTAATCCACGAATTTAATCCATGAGATTAAGCTAGGATTAATTCAGGTTTTGTTCTGATTGGTTCTGATTGCGACTTCTGAGAATCTGAGCAATCACAGAATTCTCAATTTTTTATTTTATGGTTACATTTAGGATTAGGGGTGTGACTAATCATCCACAACCTAATCTAAGCCCTAATCCGAACCTAATCTCAAGGAATAAACTCGTGTATTTAGGATTACGGAATCTGTTTCGTGAGGTCAATTCAGAAATGGCGGATCAAGGAGAAAGTCTGGATTTAGCTTCTCCTAAAGAGAGAGAAGTTATCACTTTTCAAGTTGGAAATTACAGCAATTTTGTCGGCGGACACTACTGGAATTTACAAGAGAGCTTGTTCAAAGAGGCCTCTGCTAAAAAGAACTCTTTTAATGAACTCTCGCAGGATATTTTGTACAGACACGGGTTGAATTTTGAAACTGGTCGAAGCTCATATAAGCCTCGTGTTGTATCATTTGACTTGAAAGAAAACGTTAGAAACTTTCCTAGCGCAGATGAAACGGCAACAGACGATACTGATGATGGTATTTTTTGGGATGGAAATGTGGAGAAATACGACAGAGGAAGTAAAAATAGCGGTTCAAATACAGCCGATGAAGTTGGTTTATTTTGGACAGATTTCACGTTGTCTTGTTTCCACGATAAATCTTCGCAAGTCGTTGACCTTCTGCATAATCAGATGTCTGAAGGATTTGATCATTTTGGCTGTGGAGAGATGCTCTTTAAGTCTGGAAAGTTTTACAACGAGTTCGAGGACAGGCTGCACTTTTTTTCAGAGGAGTGCGATAGGTTACAAGGCTTTCAGGTCTGTTTTTTACAGTACTCTTCCACTGATGAGTAAAATCATTTGACATTAGACAGAGTAAAATACTAAAGTAGGTCACATCTGGGTGCATTGCAAGCTAATGGGTTAACAAGAGACACTGACAGATAGTTTTGTTAACTTTTTAACTGACAGTACTCTTCCACTGATGAGTAAAATCATCTGACATTAGACAGAGTAAAATACTAAAGCAGGTCACATCTGGGTGCATTGCAAGCTAATGGGTTAACAAGAGACACTGACAGATAGTTTTGTTAACTTATTAACTGACGTACTGTACTCTTCCACTGACCATCTTTAAATTTCCAACCAACAGGTCTTCACAGATATTCATGATGGTTTTGCTGGCCTCTCATCGAGTATACTTCAAGATTTAGCGGACGATTATTCAAAAAAGTTTTCTTTGTGTTTTGCAATGATGCCTGGAATTCTTGGTGATGATGGTAAACAGACTGTTGAAAAGACTATGTTAAATACTATGCTAAGTTTTGGAAAGTATATTGAGTCAGATTGTCAGGTGATACCACTGTCCTTGAGGAGTAGTTATGGATTGAGAAGGGAACCAGTTGAATTCCCATACATCAATTATAAGGTAAAATATTTTTAATTACAAACTATGAGAGTTTATTTAATGAGTTAAGTGTCTTTTGTTAACCCATTAGCTTACAATGCACCCAGATGTGGCCTACTTTAGTATTTTACTCTGTCTAATGTCAGATGATTTTACCCATCAGTGGAAGAGTACTGTCAGTTAATAAGTTAACAAAACTGTCTGTCAGTGTCTCTTGTTAACCATTAGCTTGCAATGCACCCAGATGTGACCTAAATAGTATTTTACTCTGTCTAATGTCAGATGATTTTAGTCATCAGTGGAAGAGTACTGTTTATAGGTCAAAAACCAATTCACAATATGACTAACCATGGTATTTTTAGGCTAGTTCCACATACCAAACAAGTGCGATCCTTGCCTCAGCGATAGACACAGCGACATTACCATTTCGACTTTCAAATGACCAGGCTACAGACATCAGCACTTTAATTGGACCCATCTCAGTGGCTGGTAGAAAGATTTCTGCATTGACTATGGGCTTACCGATTCCTCTGAGCAGCACAGGCTCTGTAAACGACATACTAAATGGACCGATGGATTTTAACATCTCCCTGACACCAGATACAAGCCGACCTGAAAGCATTCTTGCACAAACCACTGTAGTCCGTGGAATACCAACCCATTTGCTAAAACTGGAGGAATACAATCTCGTTTCACGAAGGTTATCTGCAATGCTTCAGTACAAAACCAACCATGGACATATTTGCCCAAGTTATGTCGTTCAGACCCCTTGTAAGTTCACCCTACAATTTCCAGACATTTTTAAACCCTCTGTTACTCAAATTGGTTGCATTATCGAAGATTATAACCGACCAGAAGAGGTCAAAGTTAGTTCTACATCAGCAATGGCTAGTCTTGTAAATTGTGAAGAAATCTCAAGGCCTTTGGAAAGGCTGTACAAAGACACAAACAAGTTTGACGGAATGAACTATTCAGGGTTTTTAAAAGCAGGAACTGAACAGGCAGATATTGAAGACAGTAGAGAGAAACTGAAGGTCTTGGCTGAAGCATATAAGTCTGACTATGAACTCTAAGGGCAGGGGGGTTGCCAACATCCATACATTAGGGGGGCAAGCATATTTACAGGGCACCATCGTCATAGATTAAACCACTGATCTTCTTAATATATCTGGACTAGTCTTGGTTTTGACTGACCTTCGCAAATTCTGGAAATCATTATCAATTTGAAAGCTTTTGAAACTAACACAGTTATTTGGAAATGCAAACAAGAATGGTGTGAACAGATTTGATCAATGATTTATTCATCAAACTCAAAAAAATAGAATGCATTTATTTACAAATATCAAATATTTTTCAACTATTTAAATAGTTTTCATATTATGTACAATATTCTTGGATGAATTCACCATTAAATAATATTCACGAACAGAACTAATATTCAACAAAACAAATTATCAATAATTTTTGTGAACTTTATATATATTGTTTTCCTCTGTAAACTTCAATGAAATGGTTTTATGCATGAGTCAATTCGAACTCCCCCCCGGGCGACCCCAGGAACACTACTGCAAAATAATTTATCCCGGGGGGCGGATTGTCAAACAGATTTCATCCCGGGGGGCGGAATCTAGTGAAGGAGAGGTATACGTAAATAGGATCCACTAAATAGACCTTTTTCATGATGACGTCAAACGCGGGAGGTCCGATGTTACACGAAGTTTGATTGGCTCAATGACTTTTGTGGAGCCAATCAAATTTCGTGTAACATCAGACTTTCGCGTTTGCCGCCATTTACTTCAAAAAGCTCCATTCAAAATGGCGAAAAATTCAAAGCAGTTCTTTCGGGAAAGTCCAGAAGTTGCCGCGTGGTTAGAAAGAAATTTAGGAAAGCTAAAGGCAAATTTTGAAGGTATGGATTTTTAAAATGTGTAAATTTCAAACTTTTATGTAAAGCGGCGGTTAAAAACATTAAAAACATGATGAAAAACAATACTATCAAGATCGGAGACGAAAAAGCATTCTGGTGAAGGGTTTATTTTGCTAAATAAAACTATTCTTTGCAGTTAGTTGTGTTAAATAAATGCAAATTCATATCTGTAGTTAACAAGAGGGTAGATTTAGCATTTCGTATTTTGAAGTTTTAATAAAAGAAAGAAACGATATAAGTAATATAAATAAAAGAAACGACATAAATAATCTTGGGAGAAGGGAATTTGCTCATATAAAATGAAAAAATATATACAAATCTCAGGGGTACTGCCCGAAGGGAAAATCGTAATAGTTCAAATTGACTCACATAATATAATATAGAGCGCCATAGTTTATTATAACAGGACTGCCTTTCTTATTTTTTTCATAAGGTTGCCTCCAGTATTTTTCACACTAAAAAAATATGAGATATACGTTAGATAAAGGTAAATTTGACCGTGAAAATGATAAGAAAAGATACATCAACTATCATTGCCTGATTAAAGCATTAAAACAAGAACAAGAGTTGCATGAGAGTTGACAAGTGAGGGTTTACATGAGAGTTTCATCAACTATCATTGCTTGATCAAACGAGAACTAGAGTTGCATGAGAGTTGACAAGTGAGGGTTTACATGAGAGTTTCATCAACTATCATTGCTTGATCAAACGAGAACAAGAGTTGCATGAGAGTTGACAAGTGAGAGTTTACATGAGAGTTTCATCAACTATCATTGCTTGATCAAACGAGAACAAGAGTTGCATGAGAGTTGACAAGTGAGAGTTTACATGAGAGTTTCATCAACTATCATTGCTTGATCAAACGAGAACAAGAGTTGCATGAGAGTTGACAAGCGAGAGTTTACATGAGAGTTTCATCAACTATCATTACTTGATCGAACGAGAACAAGAGTTGCATGAGAGTTGACAAGCGAGAGTTTACATGAGAGTTTCATCAACTATCATTGCAAAACATTCTCACCTTTTCGGCCGACATTTAACCATTTTCTTAATGCCTTTCGTCTTTTTTGTCACACGTTTGGCCGCTTCTTTTGTCACCTCAACTTGTTTGGCGGCTTTCTCTTTTGATTTTTCCGTATCTTCCTCAACTTGTGGGGTGCTGTCTGAAGTCTTCATCGACTGTCTTTGCGTTTTAACTTTATTCATCAACTCGTACTGTTTCCGCATCGTTTGAAAAAACTGTAATTTCCGAGAAACGAAGAACGCTTCGTCGACATCTGGTCCCATTATCCAAGCATAATGATTTTCGAGTTTCTCCAAAACTTTTTTCTTGTTCTTTGTCTTCCAAGGCGTCTTTTCTTCCTCGATACTTTCCTTGACTTGGGCAATTCGCCCTTGTAAAATTTCTGTCCATTCAGCTAAAGAAAGTTCTTCTTTCTGCTGCGTCTCTTTCCCCGGTGACGTGGAGCGCGCAATCTCCAGGGGTTGAATCTCGTGGAGCTGGGGGTCATTTTCCTGGCCATTTTTGTCGTAGGTTTTTTCTTCCCAGGGTTGAGTTGGGCTTGGTTTTCTCACCGAGGGTTGAATATCGTGGGGGTTTTTCTCCGAGGGACTTAACACTGGGGAGTTAGGATCTGCTGTTGTTATTATGATACGCGAATTACTGTCTTTTGTGACGAGAAGCAAGTTATTAAGATCCTTAGGCGGACATATCGATGTCTGTGTTGTCGTTTTGGGCACGTCATCAGTAGTGAAATCGCCATCTTGAATTCCGCCTTCTTCCGACAATTTCCGACGTTTGTACTGCTCCGAAACAAGTTTCGTAGAATCATGGAACTTGTACGATTTCTGACCCGAGCTTTTTCGCTTTCGATTTTCGTCGCCGGATTCTCGGTTTTCCTCGGCCAAAAATCCCGTCTCTAATTCTTTCCAGGAATTTCGCCTGATGTCAGGAGAGACAGTTGAATTTTCACTACAACTATCCTTTGTCGCGTTACTCTGCTCAAGTTTCAGCGAATAAGTCTCCCACTGCTGCGATACAGGTTTCTTATCACGTGAGCCGACTATGCTGTTCACGTGAGCTTCGGACTTTGCTCCCTTGGGTGTTGCATCCTTTTTGACAACGCTAAAATGAAGTACATTCAAATCATCGCCGAGCTCGGGACTCTCCGTCTTGTGTATTACATCATCTTCTTCGGGTATGACGATGTATTTTATACCAGAGTCCTTTGCAGGTTTTTCTGAGCCCGCACTCCCGCATTGCAGCAGTTGCTTCAATTCGTTGTCCAAACCAATGACCTGAGGTTTTAGCAAATTTTTCAATTCACTTTTCGAGCCCAAAGACTCCTGTTTCAGCGGTTGCTTGACCTCCGGTGACTTCTTCACACCGACCACGATTCCGGTCGGTTTTGGACCAACTTTAGGTAGTTTCACGACGGTCTGGTTGCTGTCGGTTCCAGGCTTCTCAGTGAACTCGGTGTCATATTTGCGACATAAAAGTTCGTCACGTGGCATTGTCTTCAAAGGCTTGCTGTCATCCAGGCAGTCTTGAATACTCGATTTAAATTTTTCAACAAATTCGTTCTTGGTAATGCAATTCTCTCGGTTTTTTAATCCGTGTGACGAATATCTCGGTTCATAGGTAAGACTCCTAGATCGTTCACTTTTGAATTCCGGCCTGCTTTCCGTCCGATCATATTCCGAAAGAGATCGTATCAACTTCGGCATGCCTTCGTAGTTTCTCGTCGGCTTTTGGTATTCTCCAGAGTTTACAGAACCGCTCCTTTCCGGGAAGGACTGGCGACTGGAAGAAATGTCCATTCTCTGATCGAAACTCAGGCTTCCATCATTGGCGTGGTTCTTGGAAACATTTGACAACATTCTGCGAATTTTTCTCGCAGCATCCTGGAGAGAATTCCCAGCGATTTCTGCGGATCCCGCGACAAAATACTCCGATTTATCATCAAGACACCTCTTAAGTCCCCTGCTCTCATCCGACAACAACTGCTCACTCATGATGGCACTCTGTGTACCTGAATGTCCCGCACTTTCCCGCTCGTATAGAACAGACCGATAACTCGTGCTCAGCCCATTCCCCCCATGCTCGCGGTTCGTTCCCAAGCCATTCTGCTTGTAGTTCGACGTGGTCACCTCTTGACTATCATTCGTATTATTGTTGAAATCATAGGAATCTCTTCTGACCCTACTCGGCCCAGTTTCATCAATCGTCTTACGGCCGAGTTTTTCGCTTTCTAACCGAACGGACTGTTCCCCGGGTGCTTTAACCCCGGTAATAACACAGGCACTTTCACCATCGCTATTACGAGATGGATTTAAATCCACATTCTCCCGTAGAAAATCGTCGCTACCTCCATCTATTCTGTAAACCGGACTGGCAGCTGTGAAAACATCTCCATTTTCGTCGCTGGAAAGCGGTGAAGATATCTTCAATCCTTCGTCTTCCGAATCTGATATGACCACAACGGTTGGTGAACTACGACGCTTTTTTCTCCGTTGCGCCTTTCGCTGTTCAATAATGTCCGCAACTTTCATAGCTAACAAAGTCGAATTCTTCACATCACCGGCATTTAGTCCCTTCGAATTAGGTTCCTTCGAATTTGGTCCCCCCGAATAAGGTTCCCTTGAAACAGGTTCCTTCGAATTCGTTTCCCCTGAATAAGGTTCCCTCGAAATAGGTTCCTTCCAAATAGGTTCTTTCGAAATAGGTTCCTTCGAATTTAGTTCCTCCGAATTAGGTTCCTTCGAGTTTAGTCCCTTCGAATTTGGTCCCTTCGAATAAAGTTCCTTTAAGTTCTTTGGTGCCTCGACATTTCGCACCACGGAGCAAAGTTTCTCGATAGATTGACTTGATGCTCTTGTGTACCCGGCATTTGTGTCCTCGGAGTTTCGTACTACGGGATTGTGTCCCTCGGTAGCAGATGTTCTTATCTCGGTATTTCTTGTATTTGAACTATATTTCGCGTAGGTCCAATCTTCCCGGGAGGTGTAAGTGCCGGTAGTAGAAGTTTCAGAATATTGTGAGCCAACGTGACCGGTACTATATCTCCTCATATCACTGGTGGGTTGAATATTTGCCACATATTTCCCCGCTTGGATTGTGGACTGGGGTTTCGAGGTGAGGGTTTGGCCTATGGGTTGTGAGTGTGTCTCGCGATGGGGTAGAGTTTGGCCTATGGGTTGTGGGTGTGTCTCGCGATGGGGTAGAGTTTGGCCTATGGGTTGTGGGTGTGTCTCGCGACGGGTAGAGTTTGGCCTATGGGTTGTGGGTGTGTCTCGCGATGGGGTGGATTTTCAACCATTTCATTTCGGTGGACGAGACCTGGTCGTTCATGCGAACCGGTGGACAATGACCGATGGCGGAGTACCTCCAGATTATGATTAGAGGCCAGTGGCTGGTGTGCGGGTTGTTCTTGCCCGGAAGCAGGTGGATACCATTCCCTTGCAGCACGATCGTGACTTTGGCGCCAAACTTTTAGATGAAAGTCCCTTGAGAATCTATCTGTGGAAGACGGCATGGATAACTGACGCGCGTATTGTCGAGCTCTTGCGCCGTTTTCCGAGTACGGTACGACGTTCTGACGAAGTTGGATACCGCTTTCCGATTGTTGGCCGATACTTTGCCGATGTTGTGTTAGATCTTGCGTGCCTAGTACGATGTTTTCTTGATACTGAACGGCGTTCTTCGGGTGCTGTACGATGTTCTGCCGAAGTGGGACGACGTTTTCCGGATGGGACCGAAATGTGCCGGTGGAGTTTCGCCTTATCGTTGCTTCCTGCGTGCGTGGCGATAGATTCGCTGCGTGTCGAGGGTATTGCATTTGCATATTGTGCGCTTTGGATATCGTAGGAGGAATTGGACGGCCATTGTAAAAGGGGGGAGAGGGAACATTTGTTTTTCCCGTTTGAGGGGAGATAACCCGCTGTTCTGTTGAATAACGGCTTGGTGTGTGAATCAACGCTGGAGGGGACCTTTGTACGGTCGGATAATGTTGCGTAGTTGCTGCCCGTTGGTTGGAATACCCGGTATCGAACCTTTCCAGGGACAAATTTCCGACGGGGTATCGTCTCTGACGAGGACGTCCGGTGGGATATTTCCTCCCGGTAGGGGAACTATTTTCGACAAGGTGCGTTTCCCCGGTATGTCGTTTTCCCCCGGTAGGGTTTGTTTCCCCGCTACGTACTTTTTCGCCGGATTTCTTAGGAACAGATGAGACCGTGACGATTTTCGGCATGGAAGGATGGTCGAAGACGAGTCCTTGTATTTCTTTGCCATCTGGTTGCTTCCTTGATCGGCATAAAACAACGCTTTTTGATTTCCGTTGGATATTCGCTTCACCGTTCATGTCTGAAAATAAAATGGGGAAAAATTTTCGCAAATTTTGATAAATTATGATAATATTAGAAGACTTTAAATTATAGTGCTTTCAATGATAGCGTGGGTCTCCACCGCAGAGAAATACTTCGCTAGCGAAATATTCGCATATTTTCTTTAGAATTTTGACGGAATAACTACATTAGTTCAGTTTAACTCTATGCATTTCAAATGAAAATATGCAAATATTTCGCTAGCAACTATTCGCTGGAAGTGGAAATCCAGCCTTAAGTCTCAAAATTGTTTCGAAGTTACTCAGATGATCTCGACGAAGCGAATTTGTAACGTTTGTTAGATGAGGATTTTACATTAATGTGGTTCAGATCTCAGTTTAACTACTACTTTTATTACCATCGAGGGAACATCGACCAAGAGAGAAATTTTAGGCTTGCATTTATTAGAATTGATGTCATCGATGTCATAATAGAAATGACTTGAAATTTGCATAGCGGAAAAAATTCGTCGGGATGGCTACGCCATTGCAAAGAAGGTAGTTTTCATCTCGTTTTTGTATCATTTGCGAGAAGAATTTTCAATGCTTCCGTCAAGTAAACTTCTATCACGTTGAATACTTTGAAATCATCTAGTTCGGTTTATAAATTTCAAAAATTTGTATGCGCGACGGAGAATATAATCTTAACTGCCTGAAACTCGCATAAAAAACGAACTTGAAGATCTTTGCGAGACGCAAGATCGATATCAAATGGATTTGAAGCCATCTCAATTTAGATAGACAAAGATTGACTCTCAGACACTCAGACTCCAGACATGCTTCCAATAGCAATATTATTATTTAATTACAGAGTGCTTGAACAGTACCCTAAGAACGAACAGACGTTTTTGAGACGGGAACATCGATTCGGCGCCAGAATAAATTGCTTCGCGCGCTATTTCAATTGTTTACATAATATATACCTGCATATCGTGTAGACATCACACTTAAAATATTTGGATGTCAGGATATATTTCAGGTATCCATTTTGTTTAAGCCCGTTTTCCATTAGGCGAATTTATTCGCGCGAACAGATAAAGAAGCGGTTCTACTTTTTCGCGGCGAGTTTCTTCGCAAACCAATCACATCACCGGATTTCAGATACCGGTTATTTATTCGCTTATAGTGGAAAACGGGCTTTAAACTTGTTTATGTATCGTCGTACAAATGTTTCAATGCTGGAAAATTTAACTAAAGGCCTAATTGTGAAGTGCCGAAAATGATAATCGATTTACCCTCGCCTATTCCCGGCATTACCATCCTATACACATTAACTATGCTCGCTCTTGTCAGCTACCTCTGTAGCTCAGCGGCAAGAGCATTGCACCGGCATCGCAAAAGCGTAGGTTCGATTTGTCCCGGAGGACCGATAGTTGACTCATTTTTCCATCAACTGTTCCTGGCTTGAATTTGAAGTATGTATAATTCCACTCGAAATTAAGACCCTTTAAAAAACCTCTAAAGGCCTAATCCCAACACGGTTGATAGAAATGTGAAATAGAAAATTCCGTACAAAGAATGCTGACCAAATATACCAAGACAATTGTCAATATCACTAAGATTATAAACTCACAACCGGCAATACTTCATTGAGACAACAACACCTACATGGCGCAGGTTAATATCAAAACGATGTCAGATTTCTACAACATCTTTGGTCGAGAGCTTCTTGGAGTAAAGGAATTTGGTTTGTCGACGTGTACGTTTAAAATAATCACAAGTCGCAAACATTGATATGTTAATATACTGTAAAAGTTTCCGGTATGGTACCAGAATACTCTAAATGATTATACACAATGGACAATGAAGTCTTTGGAGTTTCTTCACGCGCCGTGGAGCGAGGTAAGTGTGTGATTATTTAGTTCATTTATCAAAGCTTTCCCGTCCGGAAATGTGGCTACTTCCATGGCAAGTATAGAAAACATATTCTGATAAACACAATAATACCATCTGCAATTCTTATTCGTCCATAAATATACTATTCTTTCCGAAAAAGCGAACATATTTCAGGTAGCCCCATTGTAGAGTGATTAGACTATACTCTCTCTATACTATCAAGAGCATTTAAATCAGAGATCGTAGCTAAAAAAATCACACAATTTTAGAGAAATCCTTCAAAGAGGAACTTCTGGTTTCGAGTGATCTGTGACGTAAAGACCGTAATGACAAAAAAAATACAAAAAAAATATTTAAATCATCAAATATTTTCGGTCAAACACTCGAAGATCGTTTAACCAGTTTATATACCTTGCATTATGTTGTGAACGAAGTTTTAAACAGTATTTAATGGTTGCTAAACACCAAACGACAAAGGTTTTTTCAAAATATAATCGGGATATAATGAATACAGAAGTATATAGCTTCGATTCAAGGGTAGGTACAGTTGCTTACTTGCTAAATCAAGTGTATTGTGAGATCAGTGGTGCTATATCCAGTTATTATTGGATCAGTGGTACTATATCCAGTTATTATGAGATCAGTGGTGCTATATCCAGTTATTATGAGATCAGTGGTGCTATATCCAGTTATTATGAGATCAGTGGTGCTATATCCAGTTATGAGATCAGTGGTGCTTTATCCAGTTATTATGAGATCAGTGATGCTATATCCAGTTATTATGAGATCAGTGGTGCTATATCCAGTTATTATGAGATCAGTGGTGCTATATCCAGTTATTATGAGATCAGTGATGCTATATCCAGTTATTATGAGATCAGTGGTGCTATATCCAGTTATTATGAGATCAGTGGTGCTATGTCCAGTGTGATATGAGATCAGTGGAATGGTTTTTCCCGCGCGCTGCAGGCTGTTTTGAAATACACTAAACTAAAAAAACACTAAACTTTTTAAGTTCGTAATCATTTGTACAAGCGCTGGTCAATGGAACATATTTTGCCAAAGGTCCTCCTTTTTCTATACTTGTCATTGTATTAAGGCAAAGTTGTTCTCGTCTTTCATTCAATCCTCCTTATAAGAGTAGCCTGGTAAAATAATTCTCAGAGCTCGTTTTCAGTGTACTCGCTCTAACTCTTTAGCAAAATATAAAGGTAAAGCGTGGTGCCATACAACGCAACCGGGAACGCCACCTCGTCGTAAAGAAACGGATGAATACATATTAAACGTTCAGAGGTCTTGGATACAACTGACTCTATATGATCATTCCATTTAAGATCACTTTGAATTCTTGCATTTCTTGGCATTGGCTTCATAAAATTACCGAAGCCAAGAATTGATTGAATCCAAACCGAACTGAATCTTTGAATTGCTGCCTTTTGTAGTATATTCATATGTTGATACATCATCTACAAACTTCCAAATACCCATTTCGCGTGTTTTACATCAAGGTCATTTATCATGACCAAAAACAAAATTGGTCCAAGCTTAGTCACTCGGGCTTGTTTGAAAGGCGTTTAGCTTAAACGGTGGATAAGCCAAAGTTTCAACTGAAATACTCTCATACATCTTGCGAATTACTAAGCCCGCATCTAATGCATTTAATATGTACTTCCATTGAAAATTAAACTATTTACATCGAAATATTTCAGCTCAGTTGTTCAATAAATAGATAATTTGGTTTTCCATTTTGAACTTATCCACCGTTTAAGCTAAACGCATTTCGAACAACCGGCCCCTGGGGTACGCCTACTTTCATTGGCAACCAATCCGAGATTTCTCCCCCAAGTTTAACGTGATGTCGGCGCTTAGTGAGGAGGTAACAGAGACAATCTAACACCTATGCCTAACAGCTTTGATATTAATAAATTATGCCCTATACGGTCGAACGCCTTTGCGAGATTATGCCATTTACCGCGATCCTATTTCATATAAACAACATCCTAAGCGACACAAGTAGAAATATATTTGTTTTGGTGACGAGACGGTCCAATATATTACTTGCTTTAAATGCGTGGAATGAGGGTTGCTAGAATAGACTGGCGCTCTAGTTGCATCGCATTGTTTGGCCGAAGCGTCCAAAATACGCTCGTGAACGCGACTCTCGTTTCATGAAGCAATGATACTGATAGTTGATGAAACTCTCATGTAAACTCTCGCTTGTCAACTCTCATGCAACTATTGTTCTCGTTTGATCAAGCAATGATAGTTGATGAAACTCTCATGTAAACTCTCGCTTGTCAACTCTCATGCAACTCTTGTTCTCTTTGATCAAGCGATGATAGTTGATGAAACTCTCATGTAAACTCTCGCTTGTAACTCTCATGCAACTCTTGTTCTCGTTTGATCAAGCAATGATAGTTGATGAAACTCTCATGTAAACTCTCGCTTGTCAACTCTCATGTAACTCTTGTTCTCGTTTGATCAAGCAATGATAGTTGATGAAACTCTCATGTAAACTCTCGCTTGTCAACTCTCATGCAACTCTTGTTCTACTTTGATCAAGCAATGATAGTTGATGAAACTCTCATGTAAACTCTCGCTTGTCAACTCTCATGCAACTCTTGTTCTACTTTGATCAAGCAATGATAGTTGATGAAACTCTCATAAACTCTCGTAAATTCTAGGGTTTAAAGGGTCTTAATTTCGAGTGGAATTTTACACACTTCAAATTGTCAATAGTCAATATTTTTTTAATATACTAGGCAGCAAAAATGTGATTAATTGCTTTGTAAAAGGTTAATTTTTATGGTGAACGCAAAATGATTTCCACGACATCGTTTTTAAATTTGATTTCATCCCGTTCGCTAACTACAGGGTGTCTCAAAAAAAACGCAACACTTAAATATGCAAGAACATTAATACAGCTCTAAAGCGCAATAGATAAGCACCTCTGGGAATTGAAAAGGCCTCTTAATCCTTCATTTAAAATGCTAAAAGTCATTTTAGCTGAAGTGTAGTGCAAACCCGAACAATATTATAATATTCTTGCATATTTAAGTGTTGCGTTTTCTTTGAGACATCCTGACATCCTGTTTATCGTAACTTTTCAGCCAGTTTAAGCCTCTGCATTAAATAAATACTTTTC